GGGTTTTTTTGTTGCAAAGTTTATTTTACCTTTGTAGTGAAATGGCTATTTTTTGATTGATACAGCTCTTCTATTCTTGCTGTTGTATTCTGCCAAACAATAAGTTCTTGTTAATCAATAGTGCAAAATAGCTTAAGTCTAAACAATTTGAAGTCAATATTTTAGCTAAAATCACCTCAGCAAAAGGTGTGATGTATTTGTTGTTGTAAATCTGATCAAATTCTTCATAGCTCCAGTGTGTAGTTGATATGTGTTGCTCATATGTCATATCCTGCTGCTCTTCTAGTTCTGGAGAAAATCTACTGGTTGTTAAGATCATTGAATTCTGCAATATCAAAAAACAGTAGTTAGTACTGATTTAAATGACTAATTAGGGAATTGTTACATAAGTATTCATAATTTTTTATTCTTACATCAAATGCTGGTGTCCGAAGTAGACTTGTAAAGCTTTCTTGTCCTCCCTGCATATTCATAGTTTACATATCAATTCATTTATTATTTTCTCTTTTTTTTGTCAGGTATATAATGTAAGTTGATATGCTTACTGTTTGTTGCTGTATGGTGACAGTTGGACTATGAATTATTTGGTGTATGAGGTTAGTGTAGCTCAACTGTCCTTCCTGCACAGTTATATGTTTATTAGTTTATAACTGCATGTATAAAATAGTTTTATATGCTACATCTATGCTTTTTGATTAGTGTACCTGTCTTGGGTCTAAGTTTAGCAATGTGAATTGATCATATAGCATTTGTCCTCCATAATTGACAACTTCTGATGCAATTGTTCCTATGGTATTGCTTAATTCTGGTGAATTGAAGTTTTTTCCTACGTGTTGTATTTTCCTGCATCCTGCATTTTGAAAAAGATAAAGATCAGAATATTAGATCAGTGTATGTTGCAATTGTTTTGTTGGAGCTTGTCGACTTGGTAGTTTAGAAACTTAGTTAGTACCTAAATGGGGCATTTTGCTGCTGCTTCCTTCACCCTCTTGCAAATTGTAGATATTAGGACTTCTTGCATATGCCAGCCTCCCTGTAAAATTTATATAAATCATTAGAGCATATGTTAGAATCAACAAACATAATTGTAGTTACCTTTATTTATTCTTAGAGCAAAATTTATTCAAATATATTTTCTGACCTGGAGCCATGTTGATGTTTCTTTTGCTTCCTTCAATCTGCATTGCATCATTTTTGCTCTCCTCTGATTGTTGTCTAATTGTTTCTCCTTCTTGTATTGCTTCACGACCTGTGCCATGGGAGAAATGAAGTATATGAGGTACTGATTTGTTAAATAGGTATGTCTTTTGAGAATCATTTGTATTTTTTAGCATGTATTGAGCTTTAGCAGTATATGTTCAGTGTGGCATTTGCATGTTTTATGTCAAACATGAATATATTTTTCAAATACATTGTGGTTGCACCAAAATTACAATACACATACATGTTACACTTCAATTATACCAAAATTATAGTGTACTTACATGACAAATAAACTGAATTTACAAATCTAATTTTAGTCATAAATTGTTGTAATTTTAGTTATAAACTGAACCACATTTGTAGTGCACTTACTTGTCATATAAACTGTTTTTACAATTGTAATTTTAGTTATAAATCACTGTAAGTTTTATACTTTTTGGATTTATTACATGTTGTATCAACTGAACTTTCAAATGTAATTTTAGATATAAAGCACTGTAATTTTTTGCCATAATATTTAGGTCAAATTATGATTGTTAGCCTAGAATGGTTTTGCATATATTTTTAAAATTTCTGTATTTAGGCACATATGTGATTGTATTTCTGTGTGTTTGGTATTGAGTGGCAAGTGAAAGGAGTGGTATATATGTGATTATTATATTTGGCTATGTAGTTGAAGTTTTTGAAATTGTGAGATGTTTTGTACTTGAATAAGTAGTGTAGTGTTTCAATACCTTTTTTCTCCATGGATCCAACCTTGACTGGTTCAGTAAATTTCATTCCTGCAAAATTCATGGAATAAATTAGTATACATGTCCACTGAAACCATCTTACTAGAATGTTAAGTATTACATATTTATTTACATAGCTTATTCACAAAAATTACAGTGAAGTTACACGCAATATAAATTGTTTTTACAACTGTAATTTCTAATTTTAATTTTAATTTCAAATCACTGTAATTTCTACTTCCAGTGTTTGATTTTGCATATGTATGGCAGCATGGATAGTGCTATTTAAGATTGGGTGCTATGTTAATGTGTTTTGAGTGTTTAACCCTTTTCTAGTTTTGATAACAATGGTGTGAAAGTAGTAGTGTTTAACCCTTAATGTATTTTTTAATATTTTGCATCCTTCACCCTGCAGCTGAACATTTTCCTGTGATTTTTTTTCAAAGTTGTACTATGATATTTTTTTTAAATTTCTACATGATGTTCAGATCAACATAGTATGTGATTTTTTTAAAAGAAAATACCTAATTGTAGTTTTTCCTTGTTTGTCTCCCCAGATTCCTTGTTCTACCTGATGCTAATTTTGACAGGATCTGCATATGACTTCATTTCTGCAAAATTTTATTGAATGTATTAGAATACAGCAATACATCATAGAGTAATACATTATAACTTACACAACAAATGTATAAAAATTACAGTACACTTACATACACAATGACCTGAATTTACAAATGTAATTTTAGTTATGTAGGACAGTAATTTTTGTATTCCATGTGTATCATCTAGTCATGTTGATCTAATGAATCTATCCTGATCTAGAGATATAGATTTGATGTGCATAAATGATTCTCAATGATGATGTAACTGTTGCATAATGTATATATACTTGTAGTTGTATTAGTTAAATAAGTACTAAAATATTGTGGATCGGGCTCTGCATGTACTAAGATTGTTTATATGGCAGATCGAGTCATCACACATTTCCAAGATATTGAGTACCCTAGATTGTTTACTATGATGTTCTTGGAGTGATATTCTTTTAATCCTAGATTTGATTTGAATGGATTATTGGAAGGTACTGCTCCTATATAATTCCTGAATGTTCTATATAAGAGTATTAAATGTGATCTATGGTCTATATTCTAAGCCAAATATATAGAGAACTATGAATCTATTTTGCTAGTTCCAAATTGGAAATCACTAAAATTTTATCCAGCCATTTGTCTTAAATGAGTGAATACCTAGTATTGAGGAGTGAAATATGCAGGTGTTCTGTATGACAGATTACTAATCAAGCATCATTTTATCAATTACACTTCAATAATGCAAAAAATTATGTTACCCAAATTTACAGTGCAATTGTACTAAAATTACAGTGCACTTACATGCCATATGTACTGTTTTTACAAATGTAATTTTAGTGCAAATGCAATGTAAATTTCTACTTTTGAGCATATATGAATGTGAAATTGGTTTGGTGGGTTGTTTTTTAGTTTCTGAACTTGTTTTTCATTATTTATCCCTTGTGCATATATTTGTTTTTCATATGGATTGTGCCCTATACCAATTGGTTTGTAACTGAAGTTTACTGTGGAACATGTCCTAATTCATGCTTGTGTTCTCTTAATTTTAGTTTGGTTCTGACTCCATGGATCTCAACTATCCTATCCAGCATCAAGACCAAACCCAGCAGCCATCATGCAGGTTAGTTGTCTCTAACCCATATCACCATACTACTCACTATTGTGGTTTTATTTTCTTTTTTGTGCTGCCCAACTGATACATATATGTTTTGGAATATATGATGTATTTGGTGCTGGAACTCCTGAGTTCATGTTTGAATAGATGTATTCAATTTTTAGGTAGTAAACAACAGAAGTTGTTCTGTATGGTCTACTTGTTTGATTGATTGATAATTTTACAGTGCATTTGTACTAAACTTACAGTGCACTTACATGTCATATATACTGTTTTTACAAATGTAATTTTAGTGCAAATGCACTGTAAGTTTTACTTTCAGTGTATGAACTGTGCCCTGTATTTTGTTCAAAACACTCCTTATGCATATGGGATGGGGGCACGTATGGTGCTATGATCTAAGATTTGTAGACAATTTTGAGGATGAGCACAGGTTTATGGAACATACCTAATTTGGATTTCTTCCTTATTTCCTGTTTCTCCCCTGTGATTTCACTTTGATTTGAAGAATTTTGCTTTGGTTCAACCTTTTTTCTCTTCTTTCTCTCCTACTCGTTCTCCATGGTGTGCGTGGTGTTGCTTTTTTGGATCTGGTGTGTTAATTTGGATTTGTGTTTGTCCTTTTTCTTTTAGCTTTCTTGGCAGCCAAGTTGATGCTTTTGGACAGGGTTGACTTTACTTCTTTGGGCCTCTCAGATATGTTCTTTGTTTGATTTATTTTTCTAATTTGTTGTTTGGGCCAGATTGCAGCCCATGTTTTATCTGTTTTTTTAGTGTGTTGGCCCAGTCATTTTTGGCCTTTTTTGGCTGTCTGTTCGGTTTTTTTTTAACTCTATTGGATGAAAATCTAAGGGCAAGGAAAAATCTGGATGATTTTTGAGAAAAAATCACCCGACAGATGCATAGGTGGTTCCATCTGGAATCATTTTTCTTCCCGAGTTGCTTTGCCGTTGTGTACTTTCAGCGGCTTTGGTTCGTGTTCCTCGCTGAAACGATAGACAAAAATCACTCACAAAGTAAAGCGCCCAACAGAAATCACTCAGGATTGCAAGAGATTGGAGGGGAGAATGAAATCTCCATTTTCGTTTTCGATGGAGATGATTCCTCCAATATTTATTCTCTGACATGTACCAAGTACCATGGCCTGTAAAGAAGGGAGAAGATGAAAGGAAAAGGCTGCGGGTGATTAGGACCAAAACCATAGCCCATGTCAGCCGCATCCGACCCAAAGGGCCTAAATTTCCGATAGGCCGAGACCATAGCCCATGTTTCTCTCTAGAAGGAAGACGGCCCATTACATCTAGGCCCAAGCGAGGCGTGACAAAGAAGGACCCGAACTGCGGAACTGCTGCTACACATCAACGGATCAACCCTTGTCCTTCACTCGCGAAGTCCCCTCGAACTCCCAGGCGCGCAAAAAGTCCCCTGGGGAACTTCCAGCGGCGCACCCACCGCCAGCAGCAGCAGCTTCGCCGCCCGCCGACGCCGTAGCGGAGGGCAAGCCATGAAGTTCAAGGCCTTCTTCACCGACGACGGCATCGCTCTCCTCGACAAGCGTAAGGCCCTCGGGGGGCACGACTTTTCCTCCGCCGATCCCAATCTCTCTCTCTCTACCCCGCAATTCGTCGAGCACCTCACGCGCGTCGCGCCGTCTTGTCTGCCCCCGCAGGGTTCCTGCCGGCGATGGACAAGGTGGGCCGCCTGTGCCACGTCTACCTCACGCCCACGCACGCCATGCTCCTCCACAACCTCCTCGGACCCACGGGGACGGGGCCCGACGGCGGAGGGCCGCAGTGCGTCGCGCAGTTCGCCAAGGACCTCCTCTTCCGGGAGTACAGCGTGTCGTCGCGGAACGGCAACCGCGTGGCCTTCGCCGTCGACGTCGCGCTGCTCCACCGCGCCCTCCGCAGCGCGCTCGCCGTCCACGCCCAGTCGCCGGCCGCCGGGGACGCCTCAGCCGCGATACAGGTGAAGCTCGTCAACAAGCTGCCGGCCGGGTCCCGGTCTGCCTCGCCGTTCCTCACTTTCGAGACCAAGGGAGCCCGCTCTGCTGTCGTGCAGGACGTGCCCATCTCGCGGCCCCTTTCACGCTCCGACGTCGAGCGGCTGCAGGCTGCCCTCGACTCCGCCCAAGAGCTCCCTCAGGTGCGATGCATTTTACTGAAATGCTCGTGATATTTCATTAGATTATAGATTTCCTCGGAGTCGGATTTGGACGCCCAAATGTGGAACTAGTTAATCAAAGTTGAATAGGTTTTCACTGAACAATCTCTGCTGGGATTATTTTGGCTTTAGATGGAGGCATCAAATGTACATCCCTTAGTGTAGGCTTTTCTCATTCGAAAGCTTGAACTATGGAATTAGTGATGAGTTGGATTCAACTTGGGCTGCCTTATCAAATTGAAACTTGAAACCTCACGTGACATACTCATAGTTCACTATAGCAAAAGCACTAGTCCAGTTTATTTCAGTCATAAGAAACTAACTGCATTATTTGTTTGTACCTTGAGAAAATTTATAAATAGCCAACAAGACTCAGGATCACCGATCACAGGCGGTACACACTAAGTTAGTATTACAGAAGCAAAATGTAGAATAGCAAGTATACTAGTCTGGAACTGCCATTCATGTTTTATTTTCGTCCTGAAATCTTAGTCATGCTTCTTTATAATACCATGTCAAGGAGACTAAATTAGACACCCCAACTAAGTTTTCCTGGGGAATTGTGTATTCACTCAGGGAGGTTTATGTTGATTTAATATAAACGTCAAGAATCACAGACAACTAAAAGTATCTTCTATTTCGATGATTCTAATCTCTAAATTTATTCTTCTTTGCAAAAATTGTAGCCCTAAATCCTAATGGATGTTGTCATGTTGATACTTGGTTTCTGTTCTTTCTGTAGACTCTAGTTCAGGTTCCAGATCTGCCACAGTTGCAGAGTTTGGTCGATCGTCTAAAAAATGTCGGCGATCTTCTGACAGTAGCTGTTACTCAATATGGTGACTTACATCTACACGTTGCCACTTCTCTTGTTACTGTTGGTTCAGAATTCAGGAAACTTCGTATCCTTGGTGTTCGTGGTAAGCTGCTCTACATTCCAAAGCAAGTGTCAATAATGTCTTTTTAGCAGTGCTGTCATTATGTTGAAATTACCTTTTTGTTTTAACGTGAATGAAATTACTTATCTTATCCATATTTTTATATGAATTTTCTGCATTTCAGCAACCGCACCTGTTGGTGATCAAAATTTGAGTGCTTCCACTCGTACCAATATGGCAATTGAGAGAGGGGAGGCGCTCTCAGTGGTATTACTCCTAAGAGCTTCACGTTTTTTTTTTTTACCATTTTTCATGCAGCTGTTCACAAGTTTCTGTCTTTCTGTGTTTTTACAGCAAGTGAATATGAAGCACCTAGCTAAAAGTCTACAATGTCATTTGGCTAAGCCCGACTGTACCTTCTATGGTGTGCTTTCCAGCTATTTCTGTAATCTTACTGACAAGTTCCAAATTTGTGTTGGAGAGTCACTTTTTGCTTAAATACTGTCCTTTTTAATGGCACAGGTATTTCTCCTGGTGGTGCTTGCTTGACTGTGATATTCCAGTATTTCATTCCAGGAACTAGACTGACGGACAAGTCCATTAGCTTCTACTGCAGGCTTCCAGTCCTTGACCCTGGCAGTTAAACATATTACAGCGTGGTAATTACTGACTTGCTTCTGATATCATCTAAGGATATGCAATACTATTAGCTTAGCTACTGTACCTTTCTGTTCAATATCTTACTATCTTATGTGTTATGACTTGCTTGTGGACTCAATATATGTTGGCTCAGCAATAATTCGCTATTTTGGAACATAGCATTTTTATTATCGATACCTGCAAAACTGAACTGCTTCCACTCATTGTTGTTGTGATATCACTTCGTTCCAAGTTGAGCCAGTCTCCTATGCATGCGATCTATTTCCTAACTACTATTTACAATCCCACTGCTTCAAACATCCAGATCTCAGTATCATAGAAAAATAAAAGGAAACCAGATTTACGGTAAATGATAATTACGGAATTATGTTTTTTATTAACCGAGTACAAAATTTTCAGTACTTCCCTTTTGAGTGTATGAAGATAGTAATCATTTTTGGAGCAAATGAAACATTTTTTTATCAATGATTGCATGGGGCAAATGTATACTCTTGAGCCCCATGTCCTTGGTCTGGCATAAGAGGGACCAAAATCACTGGAATCATTAATCTTCCTGTACACGCGTCCTGTACTAGCCACCTCGACGCTCTTACATGTATGGAACGTATAATCCTACGAACAGTTTTTTTATGCAGTACTAACAGTAATTTAACAAAAAAAAGTGTTGGTTTTTACAAAATACAAATAAAACTTGAAATATTCCATGTTTCCATGCCAAATGTTTGTTTGAAACAAGTTTATCTATCTAAACGTTACAACTTTGGTACTGATCTTTCGGCAAGCGAGCAGAATCAATGTGATGGTGTAGTGCGTATTTTGAACGGTGCTTTCGCCTTTAGGGCCCCAACCATTTCTTTCATTGTTAATATTGCGGTACTGCCATTCTAGAGGAAGGATTTTTTTTACTGAATGTAGAACTGTAAATTATCTGTAAAAGAAGAGACAGGTAAATTCTGAACCACCAGCTATGTGTCAACTCTGCATCTCTGATGCCATTTTTCACACATTACATGTCTGTATATACCTGTATTCCGATCAGCTTGAGCTTCAGTTTCAAAACGTATAAATACCAGTTTCTCTGATCTTAGATACATATTCCACCAAGAACCGGCAAGAAATGGGCCTATATCTGCTAACAGTTTATATTCTAGCTTTCGTTAGGACCAAGCTCTGGATCCACAACGTAGCCTCTGAGGGAGGGTGTCTTGCCAAGAGGTTCCTTCTTTTGAAGCCTTTTCCTTGCAATGTACCCCCGAATCCATGGCAGTGCATCCTCATTTACCTTGATCATGAGGAAGAACAGAATGCGGTAGATGAAGATCATGCTGAAAATTACTGAGAGATCAATCCACTTTGACCGGTGCACGTTGATCTGGAATATGTACTTCAGAATGAAGTCTCCAGGGATCTTCGGTTGGTCTGGGTACTGGTTGTCAAATACGAGACCATCCATGTCATTCTGGCATTGCCCCTGTCAGGTTGATAAAAGTTTGGTGTCAAATTTTCTTCAAGATAAAAATTTAGTGTGTTTCCCCTGTCAAAGAGTGGGATTTAATTTACCTGCAGCGCCCAGTAATGGAAGCTGATGTACTGCATGGGGTATCTCCAAACAGGCTTCGGAATGTCGTAAGGAAGTCTAAAGTATCCAGAGACAAGCATAAATATTCCCTAGGAAAAAAAAAGTAAGACGAGTTATGTTTACTGAGTTATGAAGTTCTGAAATTTTAATTGAAAGAAAAAGCGTTTCCTTTGTAAGGCAGCAATGTAATGCGGCCACTAAAGGATAGGATCAGCAGTTAGAAGAACAAAACATAGGAATAAGATCTTGAACGACCTCAAGCTGTCTTTAAACTGGGATGGGAGTAGTGTACAGTAATGCTGGGTAGCGTACGGTAAAGTTGTGCTGTCCAGCATTTATTTCTTTGTCAAGCTTGCTGGTTTATTTGACTCATATCAGATTATATTAGAACCTTTCAAAGTTTTGTAAGCTCTCATTCATGAACATATCTTAAATGCCACATGATCCTCTGGGACAATGCCATGGAAAAAAAAACAGACTTAAGAACTGTACCAGACGGGAACAACCGAGTTCGGTGTTTCGATCCAATCTTTCTATAGCACTATATTTAATACATTTGGTCCTAATTAATATGATTGTTAACATGATAGTACTTTAAAGATAGACCTAAATGAACATCCATTACTTCAACAATAAACCAAGAGATATAGGTTAAGAAAGCTTATGAAAGAAGCATAAAGATGTACCTGAATCCCAGCTCCTATAATGATCCCCATGAGGAAATTAGGGATGACACTTGCAATGGCCATCATCAAGCTCTCAACCACAGTGACGCTGGCGTAGAGGTTGAGAACGAAGAAGATGTAGTGGGAGAAACCTGGGTGAAGGCGCACCATGAAGTAGCATATGGTCCCTGACAAGAAGCATATCAGGACCAAGAATGGCAGCGCCGAGATTGTGTTGCTGATGACAAAAGCCGCGACACCGTAATGCCCATTCAGCCGCTCCCTTTGGAAAACCTGTCAATGAACAAGGGAAAACTGAGCAAATTTGGCATGGTAATTCTAGCATCCAGATGAAACCGTTTGCTTGGAATTCACCTTCATTTCTTCAACAAATGAAGGGAACCCTCCAATTGACATGAAAGTGACGAATCCGAAGACGAATGCGGTACAGGCAGCCCTAGCCTGTTCAGAGTGTAAACCAAAACACATCAGAACCAGCCAATTAATGGATTCATGACAGATTACTCATCTGACTATGTTTTTTTTAATATAAACTTCTATTACAGCATTCCAGTCATAAGAATCGCTTATCAGTTCCTTCATTTCTTACCAGGATGGATGTGTACTTGGTGCCGACGTCATAGTAGATGGTGCCAATGCAGACGGTCACGAGGAGATAGATGAGGAGCCTCAGCCAGTAATACCCGAAGTCCCTTGACATGTTGATGAAGGAGCGCTTGGTCAGTGTGCCTGCCTGCATCAAGAAGCTAGCCTGGCTTCCTCCTGAATCCAGCACAGTTCCTTTCTGCAACGAATAACATGGGTGTGTTAGTGTTCATCCTGTTATTGCCTGTCCTGGATGCAGTCTTAACTATACGTGGGGGCGCAAGAAAAAAAAAACAGAGAGGAAAAAGAGTGATATCAATACGCGCTGCTGTATTAGGGTCGCCAAGAACACGTACCAGTCGTGAGATGTCATTAACTCTCTCCCTTGCAGCGTAGTAGTACTGGGACCTGCTGTAGGATGCAACCAACTTTCTGATGGCTTCAGATGTGGTCATCCTGTCCAGAGGATCGTCCGACCTCTCGATCTTCAATGAGAATGCCCAAAAATTAGATCATTTTAAGTGCATCGTGACACGAACAAGTTTGAGCAGATCAGCTATGAACATTGGTGTGTCTTGATCTCTTCTTACCCTTGCCTTCATGGAACCTTTCAGGGTGGCCTTCACCTTGTCGAAGTCGGAGTTGACGCATCTCAGGAAATGATCCGATGGATTTCTCAGTGGCGGGCACGGGAAGCCGGTCTGGGCGAAGAACTGCAAGCACGAGCACAAGATGGTCACGTTAGAAACCATGGCGAATGATAGTGGTGACAGATATATATATATACTGGTTGCTTTCTGAATCTGGTGACTGGTGAGATGACTTACCTCGCATGCCTGCGATGCTTGGCCGAAGTAGACGGTTTTGCCGCTGGAGAGGAGGAAGAGCATGTCGAAGAGCTCGAACACCTCGCTGCTGGGCTGGTGGATGGAGGCGATCACCGTCCTCCCGTCCCTGGCCAGCCCCCGGAGCGTCTGCGTCACGAAGAACGCCGACGAGCTGCGCGCATGATCAAGCCGGCATCACATCGCCGCGGTCAGTCCAGCGCACACCATCAGTCAGCTCAGCTGTGACTGGATGCAGGGAGGACGCGTACCTGTCGAGGCCGCTGGTGGGCTCGTCGAGGAAGAGGAGGCGGGGGCGCATGAGGAGCTCGAGGGCGATGCTGACGCGGCGCTTCTCGCCGCCGCTGACGCCGCGGAGGTGCCAGTTGCCGATGACGGTGTCGGCGCAGTCCTGGAGGCCCATCTCCACGATGGTGCCCTCCACCAGGGCGCGCTTGTCCTCCCGGGGCATCTTGTCCGGCAGCCGCAGCATCGCCGAGTACCCGATCGTCTCCCGCACCGTCAGCGTCCCGATCAAGTTGTCGTCCTGCGTCACGTACGCCTAAAAAAAAACCCTCCGTAAACCTCGTGTTTCACCGCTAAATGCACTTGCTTTGCTATAGATAAATGAAAATACACTTATCATATGTCATAGATAAATATTTTTTTTCGAATAGGTTCTCGCTTGTTTGCAGGGCCGGCCCTGACTTTTCAGTGGCCCGGTACGGAAAAAAAATGAAGGCCCCCATTCACCATAAAAATACAAGATAATATTTAAAAACTCATTGTCATTAATGAATTTCACACTAATCAGTTTAAAATACAATCAAGAAGTCACGATATGCTCGATCGCCGATCGGTTTTCTATCTTTCCTCTAACCCTATCAGATCTGATACCATAGTATACATTTTTTGGAGGCCCCTAATTTTTAGAGGCCCAGTGCAGTCGCACCGTCCGCACTGTCTCAGGGCCGGCCCTGCTTGTTTGGTTATTGGTATTCACTTTTTGGAAACTAAATATTGGAGTATATATATTAGAAAATATCTGAGGACAATTTGTAATAATAACTTTAAAGAGCAGTGATGAGATGGCACCGCTAGTAGAGTCATTTAAATGAGTATATAATACGTAAATGTGACGGTACAAAACGGCGCCGTAGTTTTGGTACATGTAATAATGGTGTGTACACTGTAAATTAAAAGACCCGCCTGAAAAGAAAAACGTAGATTCAGAAATGAGCTGATACTTTTTTTTCATGCTGGGCGAGCTTGGTTACAGCTTTGAGCCTACAGGTTTGGTCAGTTATTAAGGCATTGAAATTTGAAAACGACCAGCAAATTAAACGGCCCAAGTTGTCTCGCTCTATGAGGATAAACCATCAGATTTGTAATACTATTTTTTTTGTATGCAGAAAAGTCCCCCTCCTTCCTTCCATTACTCCTGTAGTATAATCGTTGGTAGGACAAACCACGCGGTCACTGCAGCTGAATGGTTCATGTCACCATAAATTCCCCACAGGTTCGATCACGAACAAATCCAAGTATATCCAACTGTCTGTATTTATGCTATGTAGGTCGCCGCACCACAACCTCTAAATCTCGTCTTTCGAAACTACTCCCACTAGTTCTCCATCTCTTATAAAAAAAAGAGAAAAGAGAAAAAAAAATCTCGCGTACTACGCCCCAAATGAATGGAATCAGAGATCGAAGAGAGAAAACAGATCGAATTGATTGCTGCACCTAACAAGCAGCAGTACACGTTATGTGCACTTATGCTTCGTTGGGGGGTTATATTTACAGCCTTTCGCCATCGGGGACATGGCAGATGACAAAAGTAATTAAGCCCTGCAACCCGCTGGATCAACGAGCGGACGTAGGTACGCGTTGCGTTTGTCCAGTATGTTTTGATGGCGACGATAATTAGCCGGTCGATCGGACCGTGGTCGCCTACTCGTAAAACGCCACTTGATGGGAGTGTGACTGTGTGTTTATGCACATGGCGCCATCAACACAGGCTAGGGCTAGCTAGTTCGTTAGTTAGCTTGACTATTAATGCTGAAACGGGATGGATACTTATTATGGATGATGACTGAACTTATCTAGCTAAGGAGACAGTAAAGTATAGCAAGGGCTGTGGTACGAGACAATTTTGATTCCTAGAAATGGAGATTTTGTTGGATAAAACAAGTGAAGCAAGAAGCTAGGTATGGAGTACTACATGAGTATATGATTTTTGTATGCGTACCGCGGCGCCGAAGGAGAGCTTGGCCTTGCGGCCGTTGAGGAGGACGTTGCCGGAGAGGAAGGCGTTGGCGGCGAGGCGGCCGGCGAGGGCGTCGAGGAGGGTGGACTTGCCGGAGCCGGAGGGCCCCATGAGGGCGGTGAGCGAGCCCGGCTCGGCGTAGCCGGTGAGCTCGTCGAGCACGGTCTGCGTCTTGCCGGGGCCGAGCGCCACGGTGACCGAGAGGTCCTTCCACGTCAGCCTCGCCGACACGTCGCCGATGAGCGCCGCCGCCGCCCCGGGCATCGCCTTGCTGTCCCGCCACAGCGTCTCGCTCAGCGGGCTCAGCCCCACCACCATCCCGCCGCCCGCCGACGACGCGTTCGCCTGCAGCTCCACCATGGCCTGCCCGGCCGCCGTCCTCCTCGTGTCCCCTCCTCCTCCTCCTCCCGCTCTCATGGCGCGCTCTAGCTCGCAGCGACCGATCAGCTAGCTAGCTGTGAGCGACGACGCGATGGCAAGCGAACACGAACACGAGAGAGAGAGAGAGAGAGAGAGAGAGAGAGATGCAATGGCTGTTTTGCTAGAGGGGAGAGGCAGCAAGGGAGGAGTTATAAAGGTGAAAAGCATGCAAGCATAATAAAGAAGGGAAGTTAATGGATGGATGGAGCAATCAGAGAGAGCAACCATGGGAGGGCCACTACTTAACAAACCGCCAACCAAAATGTCTTCTTTTAGGCTTTGGCTGGCAGGCAGATGAGCCCTTACTCCTACTCGAATCGATCACTAGTCACCACTCCTGTTCTACATGCAACGTGTGGTACCCAAGTATGGAACACAGTTTTTTTTTTTCGACGAAGTGTCGTGTCTTAGAAATGGAAAATACTGTTGGTACGTACAGTACTAGTTTTGTTGGATTATAAGGTGTAATTTTCATCATTAATCCCAGGTAGTTTAATGTAACATCCCGTGATCAGTATTCTGTACAGATAAAATATCTACAGAGCGTGCTAGCATCAAATAATTAGAGAACCCATAAGTACAATATACTGTCACTATATACTAGCAACGAATGGACGAATTAAAAATTTTATGAAAGTTAGAAAGGGTTTTAAATAATTTCATGGTTGAGACTTGATCCAGTCTAATTTATGCTCGATGGTGCCGGTGCAGTCGCTGGATCTTATTTGTGCGCCTGCGAGAGACGATGACATGCGTCACAGTTTCTGATCAATTTTGATCATCATTCAAAATAGGGGTATAATATGTACTTCGATTATAAGTGATCAATTACCGATCAAATTGTAAGTTGTACTATAATAATAGCTGTGCGTGAAAGTCCTTAAACATTTTGACTCTTCCTAGCTAGACTAACACATTCTTACAACCCTCGATGATGGTATCAATTTATTTTATCTAGATTAATTATTTTTTTATTAACAAAAATATCCAATAACAAATAATACATGCACACGTATATGCCGCGCAATGCCAATTCACAGGTCGTACGTACACGGGTAGAACAAAAACAGTGCATGGTTTTACATGACGTCTCCAGTGGCAAAAATAATACACTCCACACCACCACAACTACATGTTGTTGTAGATGGGAGGGAATTAAAAGAGCACTAGTCAATTTAATTAGGGGCTGGCTGGCGAAGCAGCAACACGTTACGGCGTGTGATACCATGTCCACACACGCACACAGAGCACATGACGAGACGAGATCCGGCAGCAGCGAGCAGGTGCATTAATAGGGTACTGGTAGACGTTGGTGTCGTACTTTTATTGCCTGCCCGGCCAGCCCAGCCAAGCCAGCCTTCTTTCTCTCCCTCCCTCTCCTCCTCTACTACTCTCCCTTCATCCCGATAATAATTCTCGGTTGCTGATTCCCTTCATTTAATCTCGACCCTCGCCCCGTCTTACATTTCGAAATTCTCTTTCTGGACCACCATCACCGCATAGTCACAGGCCAGCGGTATTTCCCTCCATCGCGGTGCAAGACGATAATTAGTCCATGATCGATCCATCATGCATATACCTAGGACCGAACTGGAAGAAGCACCCTAGCGTATTGCCGCTAGTAGCTAGCTAGCCAAATTTGCTTCGACTTTTGCGGTGACGTACGCGCCCATATACATGGCAACTTTAGGCGTCATCACCGGGGCTCGTGGGCGTGTCCGCTTCCAGATCAATGGAGTCCAGTTGCTCGTCGGCGTCGGCGCCGCGAGATCGAGCTAGCTAGCGAGCGATCGAGTCGCGGTCAGCACCATACCTGCGCGGCTGGGCGGCGAGCGCTACTAGCCCATCTGGTAATACGTAGTACTGACACTGTGGCGCGCGTCTCACCTACCATCTCCCCAACGAGATAGAGGAGTCGACGGTCAAACGTCAAAGCTGTCCGCTTCGGCGCGGGAGAGGCAGAGTAGTAGTCAACGAGGCGTTGGGAGGCAGCGGGCAGGTAGAGGCAGAGCCGCCATCCAGTAGCGTTGCTCGTCGGGGCACTCGCGCGCGCGCGCGCGATTCGATCAGTCGGGCAAACCGCCCGGCTAACTTACGCACGTACGCTACGCCGTTGGACGTCCGATTCTGGCCGTAATGAGGTCGCGCCGCGTGCAGCTCCAACCGCGCGCTTTTATCATTACTACTATCTCGTTCCGATCCGTAATCCGTTTCCGTCCCCGCGCGCCCCACCCGCCTCCCATCCCTCTAGGTCTCACCTGACCGGAAAAGCCATATACTCTCAACCGCGGTGACGGCGACGCGCGCTGCCGTGCGTGCGTCGGTCGAGGCCGCCGCCCAGCACGCAGCGCGCGGTGCAAGTACAGTGTAGCCGCTGCCACGCCGATCCGTGTGGGGATTTCTCCGACGCGCGCGCGGTGAGGACACGGTTGGATCACGGATGGGAACGGGGAGATTTCCGCGTGGGAGGGGAAGGTTCTCTGTCGATCTGTCACTGTACATGTAGCGCACCTGTAACCGTTCGGCGTATATGCCATTCAGGGTGTCAATTCCTCAACTGCAAACCACACGCGGCGCTACTCAATGCAGTACAACGACTGTAACAGTGATCGGTATTGAGAGAGCCCTTGTAATAGGACGTCAAATGTTACGTAGTATCGGTACTGTTCACTTGTAGATACTAGATAGCTATGCATACTAGCTAGCTTAATAGTACCACCTATCTAGGATGTGATATGATGATGTTAGGTCCAAACTGGCGTACTTACTCCTATATAGTTGCGGTGAAGTTCACCATCCAAGCCACATACGTGATGATTCTGTACGTAGAGATTAACAGTAGTTTGTTGGATGGTGTCTCTCGTCTATCGTCAAAAACCTGAAAGTGCCATCGATCCCCTACAACTGCACTACTACCATTAAGTACACGGATGACGGATCAGTACATATAGGGGTAGTACTAAAAGTACTGGTATAGTAGTAGCTCGTGCAGTTCATCGATCATTCACGTGGAAGAAACATAGTACGAGGGCGAAAAATTATATCCGACTTAGCAAATTCTATAACTCCTGCCTATCTACCTCGTGCATGAGACTTGCCTGCTTATTCAACTGAATCTATATATATAGGAAAGTAAATTGTGGAGAGTTAACATCACGACGAGGAACAGGAATGGGTATCGATCGTGAGGTGAGGCCCCGGGGCAACCCGCGGAATGGAATCTCGGTACAAGGGAGGAAAATCTAGCAGGTGGGCACGCATTTCTTGCACTTGACAACGCACTTGGTGGACGGGATGTGGCTGAGGCTGCTACTGGAGCTCGACCTGTAGCACCTCTTGCCGCACAGCACCTTCTTCTTCCGGCACATGTCGGCGGGGATGCAGTTCGCGGCGGACTTCCTCGCCGGCCTCCCCCTCGCCGTGCTCCTCAGGGACGCCCTGATCGCGTCGGCGCCGTCGCCGGTGGCCGCGGCGGCGTGCCACCCGTCCGCTCCGGCCCGGCGCGGCGCCGCGCCGAGGAAGTCGCTGGCCTTGGAGATGAGCTCCCTGAGCTCGCGGCCGAGGGTGGTCGGGATGCCGCCACCGCCGCTCTCGCCGGCGGCGAGCGAGAGCTTGCTACCACCCATGGCAACGGCGAGCAGGAGCACTATCAGGAAGCATGATCTCGTCATGGCTGTCACACCTCGTGATGTTACAGCGGTACACATGAGTTCTCATGTGAATACTGTTACCCTCTTATATAGGAGGGTCATTGCAGCGATCAAACGAAGGCATGGAAGCATTTGCATGAACTACCTAATTTGCAGTGAACATCAAACGCGTGATGATGAACAGGCAGCCCAGGTGTGAAGTGTGAACCATGGACGGAACAGCTTAGCAATTAATCGGCCTGCCTTTCCTTGTAATAGTTCCGGCATGCTTGCTGATGTGAACGTCGGCTAGAGAAGGGTGCATCGCCGCCTGGTCAAGTTGTTTGCTTGATTGTAGTACAATTTTCTTTTCATACGCCAGTAAAAGACAGGTGTACAGAAAGAGGCATGTCAAGACACCTGGTTCATTATATACACAGTTTTAACTAGGACAACTTATTTCATCTATCCTGAAGAGTGTGGGTTTTATATTATAGTGTGGTTCTTTAGAGCAAGCAAAATGCAAATAGGTAATATATTCATTGAGTTCGTTCTAATTCTACAACTACCGAGCAGGGTTTCCTAAACCGCCGGGGCCGGGGTTACCGCGCCCCGGCGGTAAGCACGATAACCGCGGTAACCGTGAAAAACCGTGCAAAATTTATCAAAAATTCAAATTATTTTTAAAATTTATTTGAATTTAAGGAGGTTACCGTGGTAAGCCCGGTAACCGCGCGGTAAGGTAAACCCTGCTACCGAGATCATTCAACCACACTCATGCATAGGATTGTAGGACTAGGATAGCTTTCAGTCATATTCATACATAAATGTATATAAGAAAAGGTATGCATTTAATCAGCATGTCCGGATTCCAGAAGCAAGCTTCATCAGGAAGGCAAGAAAGCCAAACCATGTTACCTGCTATAATAAATTTAAATTGGATACGAAATTGGTGAAGCGATAATAAAATTTAAGCCGCTCACTTAAATCATTCTGCAAATGTTTTATTTCTACTTGTTATCCTTAAGCAAGCACCTTTGCACTTGATGGCATAGTTTCTCCAAGGCAAGATAAGTCTTATTTTCATCACTTAAACCCACACAATTCTCCAATTTTTGACTGACACTAAACTGAGTTCACATGATAATTCCATTTTTCAGTGAAAGGTTATGGAGGTGAATTCCCCACATTTCGTCAGCATTCAAAGACAAAACTTTTTCCAACAAGGGGAAGTCATCATCAAGTAGTTAGCAGCTGCATTGATTCATTACTTGTGTCACGTCAGTGGCTTTGGATTCAAATCAGCAATAACAGCTTACGGTTCTGGATTGCCAGCTACTCAGCTACTCCCTCCGTTTCATATTACTTTGCATTAGCCATATTCATATAGATGTTAATGAATCTAGACACATATGTATGCCTAGATTCATTAGCATCTATATGAATGTAGCCAATGCTACAAAGTCTTATATTGTGAAACGGATGAAGTATTTCATACCTTAAGGTCCATAACAACCTGCAAGATGGAATCATGAAACTTACAGGCAAAGGATATTCTGCAGACCAGTCTTGCTATCCATCATTACTGATTAAGATAGTTGGAAAGCACCTCCCAACAACCTGCTTAGCCCCTGCATGGTTGAGCGGAAGAAAATAAGAGACTATAAACGAGCATGATCAGCTAGAGAGTAGAGGAAGAGTACGTTAGTTCAAACTGAAGGTTAGACTTGAATGAAGAACTCAAAATGGTACCGACTAATAAAGTTTTCCTTTTTATCAGAGTTTTGCATGTGGAGAATCTATACATTGAGAATAAAGCAACCTGTCCAACCCCCCATGTTAAATGACACTAGACCCCCCAACATTAAATTAGTAGCCACAAATCTCCCAGCAGACATATAACAAACACCACTGTACTGTACTGCTGTACTGCTGTAGTATCCAACTATCCATGATGGGGTTAATACGTTGATCACCTGACACAAACCGTTGACAAGAAAAGCAAAATAGTAGCATGTTACATACTTATATAGAGAAATATGGTCACCTAATTTCTAATTCAATCATGATTAGGACACAAAAGAGAACTGGCCCCTCCAAAAATAAAGCAATCAACCCAATATACTCCACGCCGACGAAATATGGAAATAGAAGCTCATTGGAATGACACCTTTTTTATGCTCATGAAAGAGGGAGCACAGAAGATAAGCAATTTGGATAGATTTTAACAAATTATAAAGTTCTTATTATAAACCTAAGAAGTGCAAAAATGAGTTCCAAACCCAGAAATCCCCTATAACCTTTATGCATTAACAGTAGTGCGACAGAATACTATGATTCTACAGTTATAGAACTCCTTCGGCATGAGTATTTCAGATAAGCAAATGTAGTAATTTAACCAAGAAATATAAGCCCTATTTATTTTGGAACAAATGAGAACGAGAATAATCAAACATGGATGTTTGTCTGGTAAGAATATAAGTTACTTTATTGCAACACATCATACTACCTAAATTTAACCAAGAGTGACCATAAGTCCACAACAACTTTGAACCTAGAGTTACATGAGACATGAAACATTCTGGCTAAGGAACTGTTTTCTCAATTCAAGATTTAGGTGTTCACAGGGTTTATTCAAACATAGAACTGTAGTTATTAAGTATTTATTTAATCCAACTTTGAAGCTCATAAGTAAATTTGTGGGGATATTATTTTCTGCATAGTAAAACTATGTTCATGAGCAATGATCTTCCAAAGTGGTTCCTTGGCTCTAAAAAGGTAAAAAACTAACTTTCATCATTTGGAAGAGAAGTTGATACGATAGACTGCAACATTTCCATTTGCAGTTCAGTCCCCAGAAACAATTGTTGAATGCATATGTATGCCATGAACCAAAGCACTATGTTTCTAATAGGGTGTAATTACCTAAACAAGAGTACACAACATGTTGAAAGAGTTATCATTAAATCACATCCAACTGAAAACTCCCATACAATCTAATTCGGAAAAAAAATCCCCATACAAGATGTTCTTCCCTTGGCAAATGGCAACTGATGGATAGATACTCAGGCTAACGCATTTATCAAAACCACAGGTTCATGAGATGAGGCAAACGATATGCATTTTCATATCAGGGGAACACCATGAAATGCCCACAGGTGGATGATAAATACGCTATGTTGCAAATCAGGCTTGACAACAAGCAATGCGACTTTTCTAGATTTTAAACACCACGTCATGTTATTTACCAAGCAAGCAAGGTTGAACTTGAAAGGGCATATTTCTCAGCATATCAAGGCCATGCAATGATTTATGTTCAACTAACCATCAATAGATGTCGGAAAGCAGATTATGCAGTTCTTTTAAATTGTTGTTGCTGAAGAATGAGTGCTGAATTTTATGGCTCGGAAATAAGAAGCATCTGACAGGTTGTATGAAAGGATGGTCTGTTGAGAACAATAGGGGAGAACCCAACTGAAAAGGATCTACAGGATATAGAGAAATAACAATAGGAGTATACGCCCAAAAAATGCAAAAATTGACAGAACAAAGTAAAAGAGATAACCAAAAATTGACAGGTGTACAGTTCCTACAAACGGTCAGAAAAGGCCATCAGGCCGTAAAATGAAATAAACGGAAGTCTAGATGGTTAGCTAAATGCTCGGAAATTCCTGGAACAACATTAATATAACAAAACGTACACATATGAGTTATATATGGTCTAAGACTTTCTTTTGCACTTGAATTAACATTTTCCATAGTAACCTATTAGTGGTGCTTTTACCCACTAAGGAAAATACAGCTTAAAAAAATCAATGACAGACCGATTTTTTTTACTTCAAGTTACAACACAAAGACAAAGAAAATTCAAAACTGGGAGAAGCATTTTTATTACATAAATATTACAAATATTCGGTATAAATTACAAGACCGTAAAAGATGGCAAAGTCAACTAATGCACCTCACTCAATCTCAATTTGTTGGGGCGCATCATTTTGAGATCCCTCACTTGATTCATCGGTTCGGCTATCCTCAGCAACTCCAGAAGCCTCTACCGTCCTAGTGATCCATTCCTTGAGAGGATCCTCATTCAGGTCAAGCCTCAATAGGCCAGCAAACACACCACCCATGAATGCAACTGGCTCCTACACAAGAGGCACGCAAACCATCACTCCATCAGTACATGTTCTGGCTTTGGGAAGAGCCTACGAAAATTAAAGGCAATTCCCTTGCACTGATGGGAATATTGAGCATCTGCAGCTTAAGAATCAACTCCTATGGACCAATTCCTGTTTAGAACGCTGAAATAGCTATATGTAAAATGTAACTCAATTGTTGGGTAAACCTAAAACTCCCATGGATTCGTCAGGAACCTCACAAAAGGGTGTGTTGTTTCAGAATTTACAACTAGAGATTTTACAGCTTGACCTCGACACATCGAATTAATTCATGCTATAAGCCTACAACTAACACTGGATCGGAAAAAAAGAACTGGAAGAGTCGGGGACGATACACACCTTCAAGGCCTCCCGGAGGATGCGTTCGTCCCCGGGAGGATTGAAGCAAGCTCGCACGGTCCCCGCGGCTCCCCTCCTACTCCGCCCCTCGAACCCAACAACGAAGCCCCTCCTCGGAACCGGAGCCCTCCTCCGCGACAGCTACAAAAAAAAAAAAACGAAGAAGCAATCAGTACAAGGTCAAACCCTCTCGCCTGATCACACGAGCGTTCCTGCTCCAAGCGCAGCGCTTTACCGCGGCGGGAGCTCGCGAGTTTGGGAGGAGGAGTACAGCGGAGGAAGCAGCGGCGGCCATGGATAACGCCTCGAGTGTTCGCCACGCCGCGAGGTTTGCCGGAGGCGGAGGATTTTTTTCCTCGATGCCGTGTACGCGCTAGATGGGCTCAGGCTGGGCCGAAACGGGATTCCGCTGACATGCGGCCCGTATAATATGGGCCGGAATGGGATTGTGACCTACGTGAGGCCCATGGAGTGTAAAGTGTGGGTGGGCCGTACTGGAGAGCCGGAGCCGAGTTGCACTTGCACGGGCTGTCACCTGTTTACGTCAGCGAGACTGCGAGAGCATACGCAAGGCTCGCCTGAGCCGTCCGATCCTATCTGCGCGGCGGAGATTGAAACAGCTCAGAGACGCTCGTGGCGGCCGTCGGTGAGGTCGCCGGCGACTACATGGATGCCTCCGGTCGGATCGATCTCCTCTCCGGCAGAGATGCACAAATACGTCGATCTACCGTCTACGAGCTATTCTCACCTCGCTCATATCAGACTTGTTGGATCGATCTCCGTTTTTTTTTTTTTGGTGTTCCTTTGTGGTTTATTGCTGCTGCTGTTTTTTCGTGTCAGCAAGCACGCGTCGGTTTGTCAGTTACCTACTTCTCTCTCCAGGAGTCCAGCTTGTTCCTCGCATGACGATCGAGGAGAGGAGCAATCTCTCCAGGCTGGGCTAGGCTAGCTAGAGGCTGCATGAGATATGTACATGTCGACGACATGCATGTCGTGTACTGTTGACTCCTGCTTCTCCGTTCCGCTTAGTGGTGCCTGACCACAGGTAGTGAGGTAGAGGGTAGAGATAGACTTCAAGTGCTCACGCATTTCCCCTGTCCCGTTTTGAGTGATAATTAAGCTTAAGCTGGACTGATGGATAGAAGCAGTAACTGGCTTCATGAACCAAGGATTAATCTAGTAAAACGGTAACGTACGCCAGATTTGATCATGAGCAACAGTGGGAAAAAAGTGAAAAAGAAATTTCAGAAAAAGCTAGCAAAGCATTTTTATTCTAGCTAGCTCGCTACACGAGAAAAAGCTAGTTCATTCTGTTTTTTCAGAAACTATTATGTGTCTTTCTCCTGAAAGCAATGACAAGTAAAGCTTATGGGTGTGATATAGTACCACGCAACATATCATATATAGATGCACAAGCTAACGGGTTGACAGAAATATACCATGCAGGCAAAATAAGCCAAATTAAAGAATGCTTCTTAATCCATCGCATGACATGGCCTCGCCGGCAGCACATATTTTCCATCTGAATAAAGGTTTATCTCATCCTGTCATATGTATAGCTTGAAGTTTTGTACAAGATGCACGCACAAACTAGCTTCCACATCGCACACATAGAGCACTAAATGGTAAAAAGGAAAAAAAGGCAGAAACTAAAATGGGAAGATAAGTCCAAAAGGCCACCTCAGCGATATCTCCACCTGACAAGTGATGATTCATACGACCCAAACCCCCAAGACAACCAGTTATAAATGTCAGAGACTGTACCAAGTAGGAATGTAATTAAGATCATATCTCCTAGATGGCTGATAAGTTAAAACAGGCTATATATGCTTCTCTTCCCTGAGAAAAGAACCAGACCACACATCTAGCTAGCTAGGTAGCCCACCTCAACATCGGCTTACTTGTTTTGGAGTAGATGTTTCAGATTAGAAGCAACATAGAGATTTGAGATATGGGAAGTGCTACTGCTGATTCCAGATCTGGTATTAAGCTTTTTGAAGCTTGTATCAATTCGAATCTGAGGTCCTTCCTTCACAGTGTTACGCCAACTTTGGAGCCCTACACCGTTGCCAAGGTACAAACCATCATGCTATCTTTTAAGAAAAAGAAAGGCTGTGCTTCTGCTTGTCAAATTCTTTTCTCCTTTGATTTCTGTATGAATCAGTTATGTTTCCATAGAAATTACAAGAAATGAAAAATCCCATTTGAATGGACACCTAGGTTATTGGAGTAGTTATATCCATGGAATACAAAGGCATCAAGCCTATGAGGCTATTTGATTAGCCTGGGAGTTGGCTCCGAGACTGCTTGTCTATGCGATCTTCTCTATCTTTTTGATGAAAAGGATATGCATCTCCAGCTTTCCTCTTTTTTCCCCCCTTCATAGAATGGTTTCTTGTTTTGCTAGTTAAATTCTTTTTCTCATGGTTTGTCATTATTTCCCTTTTGAGATCTACTTTAGAAGGTGGGATTTTCACATGAATTTGGGGGGAAAATATATCTTGTTATCTACATATGTTTCCCTTCTTTCTTCATCTTTGTTTTTATTGTTGGCCTATGTTATTGGCCCATTTTCCCTTGATATGGTGGTTTTCCATTAATTTTCTTGATGGTTTATAATACATCTACTAAGATGTAGATGCCTTAACATTATCACGAGTTTCCAAGAACCAGGAAAAACTCATATCCTTTTCTAGGTTGTTTACTTCTTCCCCTATAGAATGCTTGGTATCTTCTCGCTGGGAGATGTTAAGCTATGTATGATCATACTAACTTGTTTTGCAGTAAGATTTATTACTTGTGGATTGGTGTCTTTGTCTATGTCATCCTTCTTTGTTATTCCACGCGTATGTAAAGTGGCATGGATTCAAAATACTTTTTGGCGCGAGACATGCATGGTGTCTTCGTGCGAACTTTTGGCGCGAAACACCCATATTGTAACGTATCACTCAAGTCAAACATTTGCTTTTGGCACGTGCGAGACACGTGTCAGATTCAGTGGCGGAGCCAGGAATTTAACCCTATGGGATCAATTACTATTAGTTTGTATTTAAGTGAGGTCATTTCTCTATTTTTTTTTCTGGGTTTATACATGAAAAATGGTCAGATTGATAGCATCTTTACGAAGATTCTATGTGGGATAGAATTGTAGAATAACCATTTAACATGGAAAATCACCATATGAAATGGATGTCTAAAATGGTGATCCTTTCATCCATAAACCTTTTATTTTGCCACACCTTGTGGTTATCATTACCTCCTAACAAATTTAGCCTTTTATGCGCAAACATGCATGCTTCACCAAGTGCTAACCTATTGGTTAGAATCCTGTGCACAACAGTAAACATTTAATTTATTTTCATATTTGGGTGCGTAGATGTAATCTTTATTAGTTACATTTGCACACAACCACCTTCATGTTGACTTTTGTATTTAACATCTCCACAACTTTTGATATGGTCATCCAATGATAGAATGTATTAATTAAATATAGAGGACTTATATAGATTGTATTGGCACTTATTAAGTAGGACCAAATCATAGGACTAATATAGGAAACTGCACATATGGCAAGAGCAGTCGTTTCATACTACTCGACATCCCGAGTTCAATTCCATGTGACACGCTCCCTTCCTTCTAAATAAATGACACGAAGCTCCTCCTTAGTGTCCCATATTTTTTTTAAGAAGGCAAAAGTTTTGTCTCGTATATATTAATAGAGCAGGAGAAAAAACAATCAAACAACCAAACAAGTTATTTACAGGGCCCTGCCGAAAAAAAAACAGAGCCCACAAAAGGAGAAACTACGTTGGCTCTCCTATCAGGGTTGACTCAGCGAGTTTTGCGACTCCCGCCTTGATCCAGGTCAACGCCTCCTCTTTGATTTTAGTGATGATGGTGATTGGGGTTGGTGGCCACGTGGTGGAACTGTGTTTTTTTAAGCTCCGCTGGCAGCAACTTTACAGGATGAATTGCTTATTATAGGGAGGATTTTTATTTTGTTCTTAAGTAGTGCTTTAGTTGAGAACGTAGAGTACTTGGCTGGTAGGGTGCTGCCAGGAGATGCTCAACGACTTGGGTTTGAACCAAAGTTCCTCACCCCCTCTCCTATCTTTCTTAAATACATTGATACTAAGTTCCTCAATATCCAACATGTTTTCAGTAGTCCTTAGTTTTAGTTTTATTGCTATCTACTGGCCTGAATTAAATAATCATAATTATGATCTGTGTCTGCAGCCAGGCGGCTATTCTGGTAGAGTGCCCGAGTTAGGTAGATGCTTCTTCCTTGTAGACCTTTGGAACCACTTCTACCCGTTGAGCGCCTATGGTGTCGGTACTCCGGTTCGTCTCCCTTCCGGTCAGGAAATTGAGCAGTACTTTGTGCCGTATCTTTCAGCCATTCAGTTGCACACCATCTCAGACTTCACTTCATGCAAGTAAGTATATATATGTCAGTTTCTTTGTGTATAATTGGCCATCAGATGCATGAAGAGTTTGAGAGTTTTACATGGTTCTTTTTGTCTGAACTGGGCGTGGTGACAGCGAGATAATGGTCGGCAATAACTTGTTTGATGCGAACAACTACGGCTGGTGCAGTGCGGCAGATAACTGGAATGGTCAGTATGCAACAACATCATTAGCGAGGTATGACAGCCCGAGGTCAATGAATGGAGGGCCATGTTTTCAGTACTTTGAATGTGATTCCCCTTATGAAAGGATGCCTCTCGCAGACAAGGTACGCATGCAGTAGTAGCTATAGCTTCAAACTTCTTCTCTGGAAAGGAAATTCCATCAGTTTTTTTTTAAGTTTTTAACTTGCACTTAACTTTAAAGCTTACTAGTAGTTCATAGTATTTGCATATTCCAATGAATTGTACAGATTAGTTCTTCCATTGCAAACTGCCATGTTATATATCCTCTTTCTGACATTCTTTCTATCTATCATGTATTCAGGTGTATGAGCTGTGCTATAACTTTCCACCCCTATCATATCTTAGCAGTATTGAGCTCTCTCCATCTAGTTGGATGTCAGTTTTCTGGTAATTTTTCCAAATTCAAAATAACTTCCTCATGTTTTTTATTTAATCATGTAAATTCACAAGTACATTTTAGGGCAACGTTAGCTTTCCATTAACTTGAAGCAGGATTGCAGATTTATTTAGCGTCTCTAATCTAATTGTGCCAACCAAAACAGAGGTCCATTATCTATTAAAAAAAAGAGAGCAAATCAGTTGCCAATCTTTTATATTTACTTCAGGTATCCTATAGGCCATGTTCCCGCGATGAACAAGAAGGACCTGACTACTTGCTTCTTGACTTACCATAGCCTGTCAACATTAGAAGGTAAATAAAGACAGTGACACATTACCATTAATTTTTTTTACTTCCTCTCTGGAAGAATGCTATATATTCAAATATGAATAATATTTTGGCTCCCCGTTTGCAAATTGCAATGACTTGAGTTTCGTCAAAATCCTGCTATGCAACTGCACATATATTGGTTCATGCTCTTCGAACAGGCTTTCTACACATAGTGAGATGTAGTGCTTCAGTTTTTCTCCAGAAATGAAATCTTTGTTTTGCATATGGAGTGTGAAATTAATGTTCTCGATCTAATTCAGAAACATTGTGAACATTTTATTGTAGATCGTACGCCGTTTGACAGCAAGGACCCGCTGACGCTTCCCCCAATTGGCCTCGCGACGCACAAGACGGACGGAGATGTATGGACAAGCGCGAACTCCGGCGACCAAGAGCTGACCACCTCCCTCGTCGGCGCGGCGGACTCGTGGCTGAAGAAGCTTGACGTCCAGCATCATGACTTCAATTACTTCCTCAACAGTAACAGGAACCTGATCCACTACAGGTCCTTGACCGAAGCAAGTACCAGTGCAGTTTGACATGGCGAACTTGACTGGCTGAAAGCGGTTGCCGGAGCTGGTTGTTCTGGGTACAAGAAGGAAGACTGCATCGATACTCTCTCTTCTTTTTATTTTTGCGGTGGTGGTTTGCAGTAATTGGATCCTAATCACTGAGACATCGTAGTTGGTACTGAATAATTGCTTGTTTTAGACCAAGACTTTATCTTGACATTGAGTTTTACTTTCACATGAAAAACTGCAAGGTGTGTGCTCGAAAGTATGCAGCCTTCAGAAAAGGGAGTTATTTAAATGTCCTCGCCTGCAAATGTTGGGTTATTTTGTTGTAGCGCAGTAGCATCTGTGGCCCTCTCTCTCGTGGTAGCATTTGGTTGCTCGGTTGTTCCCGTGATGATTTATTTAGGAACATGGAAATCTGCTAATTATTCCGTAATTTTCCAGCCATGATATCACCATGTGCAATTTGTGGCTTATGGTACACTAGAGCAAATATGCAGGTGCTATGATTCAGCTCGATACATCAGTAATCCTCGGCGGCCACGGGAAGCCGAGTATCTGCAGCTGCCGGCGGCTCAGGCTGCTCCGCCATGACAAACTCGTACAGCGCGCCGGCCATCCCGGCGCCGATGAGCGGCCCGAGCCAGTAAACCCAGTGGTGGCGCCAGTTCCAGCCGACGAGCGCCGGGCCGAACGCGCGCGCCGGGTTCATGGCCGCGCCGTCGAACGGGCCCCCGGCGAGGATGTTCGCGCCCGCGACCAAGCCGATGGCGAGGGGCGCAATGTCGCCGCCGCCGCTTCTCCGGTCGACGGCGGTGGCGTACACGGTGTACACGAGCCCGAACGTCATGACGACCTCGAGCAGCAGGGCGTGCCGCTCGTGGATGCGGTGGCCGAGCGTGAAGCCCATGGGGCGCTGCAGGACAACGTTTGTCAAAGTGAGACGTGGCAAACATGACGCACCTGTACACGCTGGTAGTGGTAGATAGCTCATGCCAAAAGGAAATACGCAAACATTAATTTTTTGGTTTTTTGTGGTAGGCCAAAAGAAGCAAAATACGGCGTCGCTAATAATGATCAATTGATATATAACAGCATGTAAGTTGTAAATGTGATTTAATTAAGCGCTAATGTAGGCTTTTGGTGACGAAGAGATAAAGAAAAGTGAGCTAGTTACCATGCCTCCGGAGGCCAGCCTGAGGAGAAGCACGGCGAGCACGGCGCCGAGCAGCTGGGCGGCCCAGTAGAGCGCGGCGCGGGCGAAGGAGATGCGGCGGCCGACGAGCACGCCGAACGTGACGGCCGGGTTGACGTGCCCGCCCGACGCGTTGCGCGACACCGCCACCGCGGCCGCCAGCGCCAGCGCGTGCGCCACCGCCACCACCAGCAGGCCGCCCAGCGTCCCCGTGTCCCTGTACATCTTCCCTGCAGCAATCCAAACACACAAAAAAAAAATCTTCAGACAAACGCACGGGAGAGCGTGCGGGCGTTCATGCATGCGGTTGGGTTCGCGTAGCTATTTTACAGAGGCCGTAGACGGAGCCTTCGGCGGCGAAGACGAACACGGCGGTGGCTACGAACTCCGACAGCGCCGCGCGGGTGGCGCCCGGCACCAGGGGCTCCATGGCGGCGGCAGCGGCGGCGGCGTCAGCACGGCGGGGAGTGTGGCGACCTGGCAGCATGGTTGACAACGACCAAGCTAGCTAGGAAGGATTTCGCCTTTCTTTTTCCGTTCGTCTGCACCTGGTGCTCCTGCGTCCTCCGGGTGAAGTGCTAGTTGAGTGGCAGGAGCCCTGAGCGGGACAGGACGACAGGTGGTCAGCGAGGAGGGACACGTGTGGCGGGGATGGCGCCCCGAAAATCGGCGGCGGGGAAAGCTGAAATTGGAGACAAAAGGTGATACATTAGTTGCAAATATTTGTGGAAACCATCAGCATTTGGCTATGGGCTTTGGATCAAACTTAGAACGCATTACTTGTAAGTCACTGATACATTTGAAAGAAATAATTCTGCTTGAACATTTGAAAGAAATAATTCTGCTTGTTCTATATCCGAACTGCTTTCTTACAATAACATGAGTAGCACTACAATACTATCAAATTTGTACTTCTAAGCTGTCGTCAAAATCCCATGTAGCAGAAGTTGCGGCTATAGAAACATTGAATTTCATCAGCTGTTTCAGACGAGATTAGCGATCTTACAGAACAGGGAATCAAATCTACAAACTTGGTTCATTTCCTCCAGAAGAGACAAGGAATGTAAGTCGAAACAAAAACTTAAAATATGTATAATTAATTCAATCAGCATTCTCGCTTTGTATAACTCATAACTACCAGGCTCTTAAACAACACTTTTGCCAGCTCAAGTAATAATAGAAAGGTTGGAGATACTGCCACAAGTTATAATCCTAATAGGATTTACAAAACTTCCAGCTGAGTATCCTGGAACTCTTCTTCGATGACTCAAAACTCAGAGCAGCACCAGCTATCCACCAAGGTGCTCAGTTATGTTTTACCATTAATGCCCTTCATGATAAAGGCGAGGGGCCATGCCCCAGTTCAGAATCATCGACCATCTTCTCTAATGACTCAATATCACTGGTTTCAGAAAGTATGTGAATCCTAATGCTGTCTGCATCCTCACTGCTCACATGAAAAAAGAGGAAAAGCATAGGTCATGACAGTAGCATTAACAGCAGTTGCAGTAAAAGAAAGATCCACCACAAAGTAAAATTAGTCATACTCTGTAACTCCGAAAATTTCTTTGACAACGAGTGAGCCATCGCGTGAGCAGAACTCTGGGAGCTGGATATTCACAAAAAAACAGTCATAAGTTATATATAGCAAGGGAAAATACAGAAAATCAGACACTGGACCAGTTTGAAAAACTATGAAAGATCTTATTACAGGACCTAGACAAGACTTTTTAATCCATTTTTCTCTCTGGGTGTTGACAAAGCACGGTGCATCAAAACAATAATGGAATAAGTTTTATACCCCAAATTTTATTATTCTCCAAAGGAATTTAAATCATAACAATAATATTACCTAAACAGATTCTGTTGTCTTTGAATCTAGTTGTTTATATAACTTTTGAAAATACTGTATCGAATTCACTCCACTGAATCCATAGGCAAAAAAACAAACATACAAGTATCACCATGATAATACAAGTAACAACTTCTAAATTCTAACTGAACAAAGACAGATAATGTTTTTGAAAAATGAAAGATTATCATGAGCTGCAAGCAGAGCAATAAGTGCCCTATCAAGCCTTTTCATTTCAGTACAGAGGTCAAGCAAAATCTGGCTTATCATCAACAGAACTGGACCTTTTGGTCAAGAGAAATAAACTATCAACAGCTTACCTCTGATAAGTACAGGATTTTTCCGAACAACGTTTGCACAGCAAGCTTACGCTTAAAACCTTGTTCTGTAAACCCAGCTAAGTCCATGACTACTGGTCCTGCAAGATCATAAAGATGCAAAATCTCTTGAGTACTTCTCACAGACTTGTTCTCGCAAACCAGAAGCATAACCTCATGATTACCAAGTACTGATAGGTGACAGGAGATAAATAAATCATAAGGAATCAAGGATACTCTCCTTACGTATATTCATACTATATGGCTCATGCATCTATTGTATGAAGAAATTTTGCCTTCAAGCAGTAAGATCATAGATTTCAACTGACATATTTAAAAATTCACCAAATAAAGCATAAAAATGTACAAGCATAATGGTATGGCTTACAAGTACAAAATGCTGCGTTGATTTCATAGAATCTTTTTCAGTACTTTTGAAAAACAGTTAATTAGTTTGCACCTGGCATAAACAAAATAACAAGGAATTGCAGAAATTTTATTACTGGATGCGGATTGCTACCCCACATACATGTATGTTAAAATGCTTCTTGGGAAAACATGACAACAGTAAGTCAAAGATTTTACATTATGATACAGACATGTTTTTCACGCTTGGACATTGTACTATTGCACGAAACAACATAACAGAAAATCCCCACTACTAATTGTTTGTCATGGACATATCTGAAGGCTAGCAGAGCATGTGTAATTGAGAACGATGGGAGATACAACCGAAAGGCATGCTTAGTATATAAGCAGGGGATGTCATCCTTCAATAAGTGTTGCACAAATCTTTAAGCATGGTAATTGCTTCTTCTTCTACCTTGATTTGTTCTTTAAAGTGCAGTTCCCATGGGGTAGCATATAAAAACAACTCGATAGGAAATTGTGGGACACACAACTATCAATTACCAGAGGAATAGCATTGAGTTACAAAAGTACACAAGCCAGAGTTGAATTTAGGAAATACATGTATCCACTATTACCACTAGAATAGTAGAATCAGACCCAAAGAATGAGCAATACCTTTTTCCCGAACAATTCGTCTTGAAATCTCATTCAAAATTTCAGCAACTTCAGCATCTTCTAACATTGACGCTTTCCTAAGATGTATGAGATCCACGACTACATCAGGGTTGAATGGTTTTTCATTCAGTGTGTATCGAATGTACTTCCTTACTACATCATCCATGTCAAATCCTGTCTGAATACATGCCAAAAACAACAGTTAAATCATGTGGTTGGTAGCTTTGCCACTAAATACAAAGGCATCAAATCATTCCTGAAACAGAAGTAGATATCATCATATCAACAATGGATGTATTGGTGCAAAGAATTAACAAATTACTATGTCCAAAATCATCATTCTACTTTGTGCAGCAAATTTTCTAATTTAGATCATAATCACAATGTGGCTAGCAATCTAAAGATGTATACCACAGGATACCAATATCACCATCAGCAGTTGATTGTCATAACAAGATTTCCTGTTATCACAAGATATCCATTAACTAATGCCGGCTAAAGTACACTCATCATCCATAAATAGACAATAAAGCAAGCATATCATAGAACTAGTCTAATATAAAGGTTGAATCAAGGGCACACCTTCTCCATTAGTTCTTGGAGAGCTGGAAAATCCACTGCCTCCCTGCCCTTCTGAAACAACTCATCTAGTGACTTCAGCAAAAAAATATTCTTGCTCACCTGCAAAGGAACACTGCTTTACCATTAAATACCAAGAAGGTATAGCACCATAATTATTCTATAAATAAAGTCAAGTTCAATATTGCAGTAAAAAAGAGGAAGCAAACTCAGAAGACAGTTCTTTGCATCTGCGTAAAGGCATGGAGGAGTGAAATTAAGTCATGGTTGAAAGAAAATCATTGCAAGTTCATTGCCCTTCTGAGTATGCTAAGTTATAATCTAGCTTGAAACATCATGAATGCATAAAGTGAATATAGTTGATCCTCTCTACTCACTAGAAATACTAGACTGCAACATTAAAGGAAATACCATATACTTAACAAACTCAATCAAACTGAAATTTTTAGTGGGGTATACACTACTTTATGCCTAGATATAAACTTCCAAATATAGAATCCCCTGCTGTTCCCATCGCCTATAGTCACTGACATAGGTAAATTAAATGCTAGATCAATCCTAAGAAACTACTTTTCCCCATGATGTACCTAAATTTCCAAGAGGTTAAAAGTCGATCTCAACTCTCAAGAGAACGGCCAGCTAGAAAACGTAACAGAATAGAATAATTTCGATCTTATAGAGCAGCTACCTGATGATATAAGTGCAATTACATTCCGAATCACGTCACTTCCCCAGCTTCCCAATGAGCACCAAACTATAAACGATGGCTCTTCACTGGGTATCAAACTACAAACGATTTTGACACGGAAAACTTACCCTTCGCTTCTTCTGGGTGCGCGGGGAGGTGAACCTGCGGACGGTGCGGACGACGGCGAGCACAAACGACACGCCTACGTAGGCAAGCGGCACGGCGAGGAGCCACGGCACGGGGCTGGAGCCGACGCGGGGCCCCGGTATGGCCTGCGTGACGGTGCCGGTGAACTCCACGAGGTCCAGCGCCTTGTCCTGGATCCAGGGCATCTCCTCCTCCACCTCCACCTCCTCGTCCGCCTCCCGCTTCGGCACGTCGCTGGGGTTCGCGGGCTGCCTCGAGGCCGCCGCGGTCCGGCTGCCGGGGCGCTTGGCCCGCGCGACGAGGAGGGGCGTCGGCCGCCGGAGAGGCCTCGTGCGGGTGGGGAAGGGCAGTGCGAGGGTCCCGCGACGGAGCCGGGCGGCACCGCCGGCGCCGGCGCCGGCGATGGGGGTCGTGAGCGGCTGGAAGAAGGAGGTGGCGGTCGCCATGGAGGCGGGCGGGGTGGCGACGATTAGGGCTTATCGCGGCGGAGGGCCGGAGGTTGGAAGCACTTTTGTCGAGGACGGAGACCCAGTGGGAAGTAGCTGAACCAAACTTGTGAAGTTGGTGGTGGAAGAAGAAGCAATGGGCCGAAAGGCCGAACTTGGAGTACTATCATATTTGGGCCTCTTGTCATAGTGCGTTGGATGGGCCGTTCTTCAGAAATCTGAAGAAACCAATCGGTAAATTGAACATGTTTTTCCTGTCACAAATTATTACTCCATCCATCCCAAAATATAGCAAGTTTTATTTGGATTGGATGTATCCTAGTACTACGAATCTGGACATGAGGTCCAACAAAAAGTTGCTATATTTTGGGACGGATGGAGTAAGTCACGCATATATATGAATGTAGTCGAAGTTATATGTGCTAAGTGAACTAGAGAGGCGAGGCAAGCAGTGAAATAGCAGTCGTCTGATCAGTTCACAAGCACGGACCTCACCTCAGACAGCTGATCTGACGAACAGTTACCAATTCAAGGCAATACATTGATCCATCATTAGCTGACAGTAATCGCGAGAATAATTAACTTTGATCTTTACCCACTCGTATAATCCGTCTAGAACTGACGTCATATTACAAGTTCGTCAGTTCTCCATTTGAACAGTAAGTGTTTGTTGTAAATTAAATTGTGGAAATACTACTTATTTCCGCCGAAGTGTCTTGGACGCTTCATTGCTGACTCAAATTTATGTACCACCATCTCAAAAACAATTGATCTAATACGGAAGCACTCGTAGAAGAAACAAGGTGATGTTGTGTGTCGACTGGTGGAGGAATGCCTGTATCAGTGTATCAGCCAAACACCACACCATCTAATCAAAGCTTTGGCTTAGATTCTCTGGACCATGCTGGTGCTCTAACTTTCAGGTTGGACTTCTCAGCCTCCTCGTCATTCTCCTCTTCTTCCAAAATCTCTTTAGAAAACGCCTCTGGATTGATTTTGATGCAGTCCTGCAGTGCGATAAAAGGCTTCACACAATCTGATCCCTGCGAAGGCAAAGAGTCCAAAATTGTAGTTACTATTCCGGAGAAACAGACGATGAACAAAAACTTAGCATTCTTCCAAACGTGAACAACAGCCAGTTCTTGAGATTTTATTTGAACAAATAACAGGTAACCGAATAAGTGCCTTTAATTAAAAGAATCTGCCCTACATTAACATTGTTGTGTAACCAATTTGATTTGAGAAAATCTTCTTTATGCACTCATTGCAGCCCTAATCTCTGTTCTGCCACCAACTTGACCTGGGGAAAAGGCATACTGGTGATGTTACGCAGTGCACTCTCCCATCGAGGCTAGAGCAAGTGAGCAACCCAAGCTAAAAAATTCTCCTGTTATCACGGCCCTGCTATCACTTCTGATAAGAGAGGAAGCCTTTTCTCTAAGATAGAAGTGGCATCTATGGAGTAAGGTGACTCAAACAACACCGACCCAACTCCAAGCCGTAGTGTGAAATCCTGACCAGATTACTTCGATTCACCTCAAAACTTACACTTCTCCTTGTTTGGCACCACTGTCCAGTTACTCAGTTGCCCATCAAGTTTGCACCTAAAAGACCCTTATATAGCATCCTCATAATTTCTCTGATGTCAAAATTTTCAAGAAAGTTTTAAACATTTAATGCAACATAGATCCCTGAAGTTCTTCAGTTTTTGTGACATTTTGATTTTCCATGGATTCTCAAAATGCATAAACACATAATGGTCTTTTGGTGAACAATTGGACTGGGCAATAACAATTTGTTGGTAGAGGAGAATATGACTGCAAAGAGTGGCAAAGGAAAAAGACAAAGAATTTTTGTGCTTTTATTATATTGGGGTCATAAAATGATTTGCTCATAGGAAAAGATTGACCTTATGTTCAATTAGATCAACGAACAACTTGAGGGAGCTTTTTATATTTGTATAATAGAAAGAAACACAGACACATTTCCTACAGTGGCATGGCTTCAGCCTGAATGCCCAAATCAGCTGGAAATTATCAGATATCTGTAAAAACAATGGATTACATAGAAATATATATATGGCAACCGATAGAAAGGTTACACTACCCATCAGCAAGACTGCACATGAGAAAATTGCATCCATAAAACAACTTTTTTTGTAAATATTAGCTCCAAATTTTAGAATACTTATTAATGTGATTCTTATGTTGACTAAGTTTTTCATGAACACCATTAATATATTATCACCATGGTGATGTGCATGAATCATTCTTGCATTGCAAATTGCAAGCAGCTCGGTGCCATGGAGAAAGAAATAGGACCTTTTCCTCTTCTGTGCTTTTCAGGAAGCAAGAGAACGCATCAACAAATTGACTTCCACAAGGACCATTTTTCAACTCAGCTACACATGGACAGTCCAGTGCTTTCTGTACCTTCACATCAATTGACTGAATACACAAAATACTAAGTTCACTGATCATCCAGGGTGCCAAGAAATAGTAAAGCAAATAGGATAGTGATATATAAGCATCCCACTCAAAAGTCAAAAGCAAAATAAAGTACCATACCTCATTGCCATCCTCGTCAAATGACATAGCCTCTGCATTTAAGGAATCCAACCTCAGAATGCTAGCATGAGAAACTATGGAGAACTTAAGTGATGCATTTTTTTAAGGAAAAAAAAGAGAGAGAAGTCCATAATATTGATGGCCATTGCAGTAATTTTGACTCAATTTTTTTTGAGATAAAAAGAAACGCGAATATTAGGGAAGGACCTAATATCAAATAAATATAAGGGGTGAAGCTTCAAACTTAGGCCGGCTAGCCTACCACCTTGTGGAGCTAGCTATAAGACCCCTGGGTTTTGAGATAGCAAGCTTGCTAGGAACTGAGAGTAGTGAAATTGCCACTAATACTATATTAGCTCAGTGACTCCTCTGACCCGGGTGTTCTTATTCTTTTGAGAGGGACCCGGGTGTTATTAACTTACAAAAGGATCAGACAAAAGGATTGCCTGCCGATGCATTAAGATTTTGGGGGAAACAAGGTACAGTGTAATTGACTTATTACATCACGTGCATGACATTAATATTTTAATCTATCTAAATTGTCAATTCCGGCATGAATGATTGGTAAGATATCAGCTATCATCAGTTCACTATCCGGTACACGGCCTGCCCTGCACAATCACATACTCGAATTCGATCTAAAAAAAGAGAGATTTGGAGGGAGAGACTTCGCTCCAAACATTTTCTTAAGAATGAAATTATGAGCATGTTAGGGATTGAACACAGAAATTTGGTATTAAAACCACACACCTCTTGCCACTGCACTATCTACTGCATCTCAAAGCTTCCCAAATCCAAAGCAACACAACAATCTAGCGCGGCTACCGCATCTCAATGAAAAGTCACGAGTGCACGAGAAAATCGCCATTGGATCACAATATTCAGAGTTTTTGGCATGTACCTGCGGCGAGCGCCTCGAGGGAAGATGGCGCCGGGGCAGGAGACGGCGACGACGACGGCGCCGCCTCGACGGCAGGCGGAGAAGGCTCCTCCACCGCCTGCGCGGGCTGGCTCAGACCTTGACCCATCGAGGTGTAGCGCTAGAGAAGAAGCAGGCGGCGGCCACACTCTCTCGTCTTCCCGGGCTGCGACGGCGAGAACGGGAGCAAGCGGCGGCGCGGCGAGTTGGAGCGTGGTCAAGTCGGCCGGCGTCCAAGTCCAACTAAATAACAGGCCCGAGCACCACCACATCACCGGAAGCAAAATTGGACCCGAGTTCAACTCCGGCGAGCGCTTTCCCAGCCGTCCAAATCGCATCAAGATTCGTGCAACGCGGAGACAGGCTTACTGGGCCGGCCCGGCCCGTTTGGTGAATGGCTCGCGACCTCGGAGAACCTAAAGCCTAAACCGCGGCTTGGGTTCGGGGGAGCTCCAGGCCGCCGGCGACGATGGGAAAGCCGCTGGGCGACAGCGTGTTCGCCGGCCACGCGGCCGCCGGCGTCGCGGCGATCACCGCCTCCGCGGTCGCCGTCCACCCGCTCGACACCGTCAAGACCCTCCTCCAGGCGAGCGCCCCCCTCCTCCCTCAGATTCTCTCGCTGATGCTGTTGCTGGCCCCTTCTCGGGGGCTTTGATTTGGTACTCATTCGCGGGTGTTTTACTTTCCCTCCTGTGCTGGCTGTGCAGTTGAGCGCTACGGGGTCGCAGCAGAAGATGGGGCTCGGCCAAGTGGTGGACCGGCTCATGTCCGCCTCCGGCCCTGCAGGTTTGGGTTTCTTGCCCAGTTGCTAGATAATTAGAGATCTTCCACTGTTTTTAGTGGTGGTAATCCCATATCGTGAATTGCGTTAGGGCATGTCGATATGCATAGCTTTCCAACACCTACAAGCTACTGGGGGTTTATGAGGATAGGTGATGTTTGAGTTTTGCGGTTAGTGGTGAGTGACTACTTGCTCAGCCTGCCATCCAAAAATCATGGTAGCATTGGGAGACTGAAAATTCTAAAATGGATGGTAATTTTTATGTAGTGCCCACATTATAAACTATCAAATTTGTAAAAAGAACTTGCTGCAAATTGATCATATTGGTCATACTTGGCAGCTGGTGTTGTAATAGAATTCCAGGCCACCTCTTTAGTTTTTGGCCATATTCTTAGGTGTCTGTTCCTTATAAAATTTCCTGGTCGAGAAATACAGGGAGAAACCATGTGAATCCTGCCCTTTTTTCTAATTCCTGTGTGATGATTTCTCATCACCTATATATATGTTACATTGGAATGAAATTATTTTCCTTTGAATTTATTGTGTGTGCTTTTAGGCCTTTACAGTGGCATTGGATGGTCAGTATTGGGCAAGCTGCCTGGGTTGGGAGCACGTTTTGGAACTTATGAACTCTTAACAGCCTTCTATAAAGGTACAGCATGGTTCCAGAAATTTATTGCTCAGGATGGTCTGCCTTATAGAATCATTTTGTCTGTCCATTTGTTTGCAGTTATGAACAAACAATACACTCATTTAAGTATATGATTTGCCAACTTCTCTGTCATATTCTCTTGCCTTCCTATTATCATTTTCCTCTATTACAGAATGGTTAGCCTCCTTGTATCGTTTAATGTAATAATTGCCAAATGCTGTTTAGTTATTTGTACTATGAATTACCGTTGACACTGCAATTTTTTGCTGCTGTCCAATGCAACAATCTGTAGATCATTTTGAAATGCATGCGTTTCTGGATAGTTAAAAGTATTCCTTTCCTAATGCAAGTACTTTCTTATGAATTGTTTGTTACGCGAAACATCATATCTATAAGTACTGCAATATCTGATTATACCAGATTCGTTGGTGACTTCATCACTTGATGGTGAAATATGACAAATGACATTTGTTTTGTATATCTCCCGCAGATGGAAAGGAGGACAACTATGTTTCTTACTCTGAGGCTATGTTGGCCGGCATAGCTGCTGGTGCTGTTGAGTCAGTTTTGTGCACACCATTTGAACTTCTGAAACTTCGGAGCCAAGTTGGTTCTGTGAAACCAATGAAAGCCACAGACCCAGCAAACATTACAAAAGTGGCATTTCCACTGCTCTCCAAACTGTTGCCTGGTTATGTCCCTGACATCAGAGTATGGAATAGCAGTGTCAGCCTTTTGTCCAATCTTTCCCCAAAGCATCCTGACATGATGGGTGCCCTGAAACAGCATCCGTGGATGCTTACTGGTTCAGGGAAGCCCCCATTGCCCTCTGATGTTCAGGTTCCTTCAAGAGTGATAGCACTTGAAGGATGGGGTGCTCTATGGAGAGGACTTAGACCAGGGATGACCCGGGACTGCGTCTTTGGAGGAATGTTCTTTTCAACTTGGCAATTCATACACACAGCGATGCTTACTTGGAGTGCTGTTAATATGAACCCTCAACCCAGGTAATGGAATGTAGTATTTTTTTTTCAGGAAATAGTGATAGTAATCGAATCATAACTGTTTATCTTTTTGGCATTAGGTCTAGTCTAACCTTTTGATGTTCTGTTCTTGTCAGCAAACTGGAAGAAGCAGGCCCTGTATCCCCTTTTGCTTCTAGTCTTGCTGCAGGCTTCTCAGGAGTTGTAGCAGCTGCTGCTTCCCATACATTTGATACCGCCAAAAGTCGTTCGGAATGCACTGTTATACCAAAGGTATTGGCATCGCCCTACTTTGAATAGTTTGTTCTGTTAGTTTACTAATGCAAATTTGTAGTTCATTGTGTTAGAGCTTACAACTTGTAAACACTCAATTTCCCTATTTGCAAGCATGCCTTACTTCTGCTTGTATTACTTCAGTATATCGCGATGGAGAGGAGGCTTCTTAAATGGAAAGTACCAGGAAATTGGATAGAGAGAAAGACAGGAATATCTCCTGCCGATAGGAATGTTCTGTTCCGTGGTATTGGTCAACGAATGGCCCGAAGTGGATTTGCATCTTTTCTACTTGTTGGGTCCTACTATTTTGTTATAGATCAGTTCTTGTAGACGACATGAAGAGACATCATTTAACTAAGAGATCTCTTTAATGAATTTCAAACATTCTATGTGCATCTGGTGAATAATTGAAGAACAGGTAACCACTTGGGCATCCATGATTGTTCCTGTACTTTGTTCATCTCATCCTTGTTAGAGCTGCGTGTTCCAAGTTATAATATTGGCTGCTAAAACATTTTTTTATGTCAATCAGAATTCAAGGCTGCCTCTTTTGGTATCAGGCTTTTGTTGAAGAGATAACAAGTATCTTGTATGGAAACCGTATTGTTGGTAGGATGACTGATGAGTAGCAACTACTGAAGATCCTTTTTAAGTTTTTGATAAGGATTTTGTGAGAAAAAAATATGTCTTCATTATTGTTCAAGGTTAATTTCATCATAAGATTTTACTTCTTCTCTCTTTTTTCTTGTCATTAGAAAGTAAACGGTAAGGCTTTTTGTGAATATTTTTGGGGATGCCATAATTCCCTGAAAGCTGCCTTCTACTTCTGTTTACGGTACTATTCAGCAATCCTACAATATATCTTGGAATATTTTACTTCAATTGTACTGGCATTCCATTTGGATGGGTGGCTGATCTTGTGACGCATCTATATGTCTTTAGACAATGGAACCAATTGCACATATGGTTGGTTAGATGATTTTTGTTCTTAACTCTGAAGTTATATTATAACTCTTGGTCAACAACGCATCATCCAAAGCCACTTTACATTTGGGCAAACTTGACGTTTTATAGTAGTTCAGGTTGAATAGTGCCCGGTTTTAAATATAAAGTTACTTTTACAGTACCAGAAAAGTTTAGTATTGTCAAAATAAAAAGGTGGTAGTCGGTCACACTGATGACTATGGCAAGGAGTATAATGTTTTTGGAAAGGAATATGTTCCTGCCTGAATACCTGATAGCAATATTATTGAACAGAAACAAACCTAGTGGTAAAGAATAGAATTGATGTAAACAGCAATCGTGTATGATTAAGAGTAACATGTAAATAACATAATACAATAATGATGTTTCTTTATAATTTGGAGTCTGTAAATTGTAGCCATATATGTGCTCACGGCAGTAGGCAAACTATATATGCGCCATTTCGCGTGGTTTTCTTTGTGTTATTTGGCACGCATACTTGCCTTTTGGACCGATTGTAGAACATCAGACAAAGGCTTTTGAAACGAGCGTGTCAAGTTTCGTTTTGTTCGCTTGTGTAGTTGTATCTCAGAACACTGGAAACTGTCTAGATGATATAGTCGCTGCAGCAGGATCAAAATGTGACAGTTTTCACAGTACTCAGTATAGATCAAAACCAAGCCATTCTGAAGGGAATCCTGAGAAAATGGATCCACGAGTCATATTGGAATCTTTTGAAATGGTTAGTTTTTTTCTTCTTTTTTTTTTGGCAAAGCATTTCCTTTGTCAGAATAAGATTCGCCTGTACAATGCTCTTGAGATTATCTCCAGGCCTTGTTTAAATTTTGCTGACACCACAATTTGTTGGGACAAATTTTGTACACTTCATTCGTACCACGTCTGGCTTCGACATGGTATACTAGAGCCTGAACCTCTGAAAGACAACATTCACATTCTTGCTGAATATACTGCTACTGACGGCTGTCTTCTTTGTTCCAAAGTGGATCTAATGGAGGAAGATCGTAGTCGTCAGGTTTTAGAGCCAACGCAAAATCCGGCAATGGAGGCGGTGTTCCAATGACCCTGCAGATTCCCCACAACGAAAAAATTCATCACTTATTGAGGTTCACAATACCCTGAACATCACTAGATGTAGTACTATTTATGTTGCAAGAAATTTTGTTGTATGCATATTACACCACAAATTCTTAGTACCTCTCTTGCGTATACAGGTCCTGATTGATCTTGACCTTGCTTGAAGCATCTTTTGGAATCTTGTCAAGCATGTACTTAGCTGTTCCGAAAGGAGTGGGGCTCCTGCAAAATTCCAGGTATTGACTTCAGTATCCATGCTTAAGAGTGGATTTTTACACTGAACAGCAATAGCTATTCATTAAACAGTATACTGAGTAGTATCAGTTTACCATCTTGGTAAAGTTCTTATGCTGAGAATAAAACATAAGAAAATTTGAAAAGCGAAATGCTCAAAAGGTAAAATGTCTTGCCTTGATGTTGGAGGAGTTGCATGGAAGGCTTCAGAAGCCCTTTTGCTTTCTTTCAGAAATTCTTCTGAAGCTTGCAAGGCAGCTACTGCCATTCCATGAGATTTCTCTGTGTTTCCCTCGTCTAGAATCAAACCATGGAAATAGTATGCTGCAGCCTGAAAAAAAGTGCACATTAGTTTTGAGACGTACAATTGCAACTTGAAGTAATTTAACATCAGGAAAATAAAGGTTAAACCAACTTACACACCTTTGCTTCAACATACTTCCACTTAACAAACAATAAATGCTTTTTCCCCCATCCATCGGATACCGGAATTTCTGGAATGCTCTCCTGAATTTGATGCCAATATTTGACCATCTCGCAAGCTAAGCGCCGTTTTACCGCTAGAGTGGCCTTTGGGCTATCAATTGCCAGACCAAGTTGCATGTCGACTCCCTATAGGTCAAAGATTACCGATTGCTCAGGACATGATATCAAATTTACTGACCAGAGAAAGCACCACTGCACCGAGAATAACTTGGACCAATGTAGAACAGTGAATCATGAAATTTGCTATAAATTGAATTAGTGCTAATAGTTTCTACTTCAGCCCACAGAAAAAATGCAAATAGATTACTAAGCATCATTCCTAATCAGAATATAGGAGCTTCAGGGGTAATATAGCAAATATGTCACTTGGGACTATAGCATAAAAGTTTCAGCTTCATAAAAAGTACTACAACAAATGTAATGCCCATTAGGTTTAGGAATGCAGTTCTTGAGTTCATTTACGAAAGAGCCAAATGAGCTGAGCCCAGAAAATTGTACCTGACCCAGAGCTTGCAGGCTAAGAGCTTTGAGATTTCCTTCAGCCAGATCTACTGGAAGTTGTCTCCTGTAATGCATACATTGAAATGGATGTCAATACACCTTCTTTCAGCTTAAATCCTCAAAATCATCTACTCAGCTTCTCAAAAGTTCATAACCTTAACTCCGACGATATTTGGGGTAGTACTTGTCTAATTGCGCAGTCTAGGTAGCCAGATGCCTTCAAGAAAACATCAACAGTAGCTCGTCTGCTCTCTGTGTACATTGGCAATACATGGTGCATTATTAGCACAAAAACACTGAAAGAAGTAACTCAATGGAAAGCAGGACATGAACATTTTCATATGCCCATATTGCTTCAGAAGTTCAGAAAAACAGTTTTATACCTTCAGAAACCCTTGGCGCATAACCATCACCGTATGACCTGGGAAGAAGCAGAGAATTGGCCTGCAACAAGCAGACCATGGCCATCAAATGCAGAACGGACAACACTTCATACCATGCATCTGCCATGGCCGTTTCCTGCAGTTGGCAATTCCAATGTTAGATCTAATGGCTACTGTCGGGCATCATGGAGGAAGATGACACACCACATTTTTAGGACCCAACACATACCTCAGCATTATCCTCTTGGTTAGTCCAGACGAAGTGCACTCCGTGCCGCAATTCGCTACCTGCAGAGTTCACAGGCTGAATCAAACGAAACAACAAGATTGTCAACCAACAGAACACCAATCCACCATATCGGAGCAATTCCTCACCTTCCTTCACCAATCCTAGCAGCACTGGCAGATAGTCTTCCAGAGCCTGTAGGAGATTAGCAGTGCTCGAACCTGTAGAAAAAATAACCAAAGAAATGAGAACCAATCCAAATTTTGCAGGCAAAACCAGCCAGCAATTCAGATGCGCTACCACCACCACCCTCACTCACCGTGCCGCGCCGCCGCCCGCCGCTTCGGCTTCAGCGCCGCCGCCGATTCTTGCATTGCCATGTCGACGACCCGCGCCCGCAGCGACGACAGCCTCGACGAGGCCTCGTCGAGGCGACCGGCGAGCGCCTGGGAGAAGTCCACGCTCCTCGGCACCCGGAGCCCCGGGAGGAACACGACCACGTCGCCGACGCTCCCCGGCCGCCGCCGTGGGCCGCCGCCGGCGTCCTTCTCCCTCGACAGCCCACAACCCATGGTACGCGCGCGGCAGACAGCCTACGACTTAGCTCACCTCACCCTGCAAGAACCACGGTGCAATAGAACACCCAGCAATCGAAAAAATATCAGTTACTCGCCGGAACCATCCAAAAGGGTAAAACCAAGATAAGGTATAAAAGAATGAAACTTATCAAATTGAGTAAAAATAAAACTACAACTTGTAAGCGAGTACGGTAATTTCGCAATTGGAGAGAGAGAATTCCATCGAACAAGAACAAAAAAAAAAGGGTGAGGCGATGGAGAAAAGCTCTTGCCTTTATTCTTCCTTCCACTTCGGCTTTGTGCGTTTCTTCAGACACCAAGAACCGCTCTGATTGAACCCACCACCACTATCTTCTCTTCTTCTTCTTCTTCTTCTTCTTCTGCAGGCTGGCGCGCAGCACCACACCGAACGCAAACACAGTGGAGGGACAAAAGGAAGCAAAACTCTTATCCCTTGGTTCGTAGGGGACCGATCAACATCAGAGCAAGAGCACAACTTGGCGTAATGTACGGCCAAATTGGCATACTTTTCGCATCGAAAGAGGTAGTATTATTCTGTGTTTAGAACAGTTCCTCCAACTTGTGCCATCAGAAAGAAAGAAAAAAACTTAGGAAAGGGTTGCAATTGCAATGCGTCATCCGATATTTAGCCTCTGATATCAGCGTACCTCTACTGCAGTTTAAAAAAATCGACAAAGTGCATTCGCAAACTTTTCTCAAAGATCATGGAAACGAAGCTGGAAAATCCGGAGGAAACCAAGAACCTACCTAATCTTGGAGCTGGAACGTCATGCGAGCGAACGTTGCTTCTCGCTGCAAGCCAGAGGTGGTCTAGAACCACAAAATCAGGAAGGGCTCAACTGTTCAAGTCTAGGGACTAGGGAGCATGCAACTTGCAAGAAGAGGAAACCAGAGCCTATTGCTGCTGGTCGAGCAGTCAGATGGAGAGAGAGGCAGAGAGAGATGTTTACTAGGCTACTCCTGTGTATGACTTGTCCTATTTAAAGGGGAGAAGCTTTGTGATCGTGCTGATGCAAATGCAAATCTACCCCACAATTATTAAGCCCACACACCAGTACACCACACAGCACAGCTGGTCAGCTGCACGGAGGCCATCGGAGGAAAAAAGATCTCTCGAGCCCTCGACGACGCCTACTTCTTCGACGGAGACAAACTAGCTAGCGATCTCCTCCTCGTCTGCACACCAACGGTTTAATCGTCACGTGAACTACCAGGAGATTCCTCGTGTGATTTACTACTAGCCTAATCGGGGACACCTGTGTGGCTGTGCCTGGTCTTCGGAGTAGAAATGTAGAATAATGTCGGTCGCCAGGTACAAGTACTATCCGTCTAAATGCGTTGAAACTGGGAACTCTCCTGTGAAAAGAGAAGCTGCCACTGCTTAATAAAATCGTAATCGAACTGTTATTGTACAGCTGTTTCTGTTTCCTACGCTAATAGTGGTCAACCATATTAAATTTTGCCTAAATTTTAATTCTTTTTAAAATATACGTTCGAATTTCTTACAACTCCAAAGTTCTTTTCTTTTTCGAGGTGGACGTGGCCGTATATACTAGATGCTGTTGCTGTAGGAGAAGCCGTAGTATATTTCAAGTAGGTTTTTCGCAGGCCTAACCAAACGTCACAACGTAACCAACTCCAGAATTGGATCATGGCGTGACATAATCACCACTTGTTTAATCCTCCGGATCAGATTAAATAATCATATGGCTGCCACCGCTCATCATAGTATAGTTGGGCTCAGACTGCTACCCGTTTGGAGTATTTATCGGTGGTCATACTAAATATACGTGCTTAATTAAACCATATAATTTTAATCACTGCTTATAACCCTTGTGAGCAAGTGGGTTAGATACCGTCTGCACTCTGGAGTACTGCCAGTAATACAGCCAATTCGTGCCCAATCTTCAGTTTGTGGATGCAGATTCTTCAGACCAAATCTTTTTCAGCAAATCTGCACGCGTATGGATGCATGCATTCGCTGCTGAATTTGGTTCGTCTCTTTGCCAGTGCTAATCCCATGCGTATCTGCTGCAGATGCCATCTTGCTGTAATGTGGTCATGTGTAAGAGAAACAGTGAAGAATCTGATGGCACCTACCGTGTCTGCTACTAACAAATTGTGGTTGACATCAACGCGTGTGTCATTCTCGTGCCGAAAGGGGAAAGGCACGGTGCCTCTTGAGTGTTGTTGCAGGCTTCCTCCTTTTTTGTGGATAAGTATACCAGCGTCCTTCTTAGCTTCCAAACAAAGGTTTAGGACACAGGTTATTCCACACGTGATTGATGTTATCGTGTAATCAGTATGAACGACACTAGTACATGGCTAATCATTTGACAAGCGAGGAGACAATTCCTGCTAATCTCTTGGCCGTGGAGCAAAGCTGTATTGTGTGTGACATAGATTCGTAGTTGTTTCCGCTAATTACACCAAGAATTAACAGTTAGCATTTCTACCTCGCAGAAGATTGACACTGTATATTCTGTGGAGTGTACGGACAGTTCCCTCTTATCGACAAGCTAGTGAGCTGTGCAAACTTACGCTACAATCTGTGCAGATAAACACAGCGAGGACCAACAGCAGAGCTAGGTAGCGTGAGATACATTTCTGATATCACACGCCCGTTGCTAAATCCTCGCTAAAAGTTGAACAAAAGCAGGGAGACCGGCCCGAGCATGTTACTACTAGAGCTTTTCATGACCTTTTCGCCCAGAGAAATGATAAAAGCCAACTTTATACAAAAGGGCGATTTTTAGATTGTGGATGATGATATCGTCGCCTCCTTTCTTGTTGCAGTAAGTCGCTTCAGCTTAGCCTTTTCTGCTTGCTTGTTCGATGATCATAACAACTTCCAAAAGCAACAGTATGGCCAAGAATTTCAGGTTGCCAACAATTGCAAGGCAACAAAGGGCATGAACAGTTGCATGATTGCAACGAAGAGAGACTAACACGAACTGTATTTGACAGATGGCACGATCCAATCGATCCCGCGCTCTTATGTGTACCTTCATGTTCATAAACAATTTCAGAAGGGGAAATTTTGTCCGGACAAGTGGCACAAGTACCAGATGGTGTGGCCCGGTACATTGACCTTCAAGCTAGCGATATGATCCCAAGTGTCAAATTTTGATATGGCAGCTGTTCCATGGGAAATATCTAGTGCGTGTGTGTGGATGCAAGGACGGCCACGGCACTGGTCAATAATGCGATTGCAGGTCAATAGGTGAACCAGTTTTGGAGTTCTTTATTGCTTAAGCTCGATCAGATTTCGTTTTCAGTAGAGATGAAGTTTGTGAACTCCTAAAATGAGCCGGTGTGAGTTGTGTGGCCAGCGTTTCGACAGCAGCTCAAACTCCCCCTTGAGAAAAAGAACGGTCAGGTGCAGGGTGAAAATTCAGTCCATGAATCTAGGTAATGGAAATCTGAAAGAAACAATTATCTTTTCTCAACCAACTTCTGAAATATGAAGAACAATCGATTCGTAGCATCTCATTTCCAGTACAGTTAACAACGTGAATAGCTATATATATTAGCAGTACTGATTTCAGTGTCGCGTACGATGCATATGGCTCTGGCGGGAAGAAGCTTCTGGAAGCAGGATAGAAGGTTCTGGAAGCAGGATATTAGCCGGGAGGGAAGGACGCGATCGAGAGGTCAGGTGGTCAGAATAGCAGTCAAAGCTTCGGCTCGGAAGGCGCCGCCGGAGCTACCACGGCGCGCCACGTAGCACACCCCTCCCTAGCCCCTACGCCGGCCGCTTGCCAAACTGGTCCAAAACCTAGCTTTCTGCTTTTCCGTCGTGCACGCTGCGGCCGGCCAGGCCCGGGGCCTCACCTCCGTAAATATCCCGAAAAGGCCATGGCTTGGCTGCTAGGCTCGTGCCCGTCGCATCAACGCGTGTGCGAGCGCGCGGAGCGGCTCGGCGGGTGATTTTCCCTTCCTCCCTCGGCGGCAGGGCAGCGCCGTGGATGGCCCGCGGGTCGTTACCACCCAAAAGCATAATACGTAGATGCATCATAGGTACTGGGGTGCCACCGCGCCGCCACCACCACGTAGCCCGCAGCGGTCCACGCAAACACGCGACGTCGCGCATTTAATCGCGCGCGCGCCGCACCCACGCGTGCGGTGCTGCACGGCCCCGGATCCGCGCGGACGGCGCCGTGGCGGAACGCCACCCTCACGTGACGGACGACGTAGACCCACCACCCAGCCGTGAGGCTCTCGTACGTCCTGTGGCCGGACGAACGGGTGGGGTGGCGCGCACGCGCCGGTGGTGGGCGTTTGACCGGACGGTTGGCACCGTGACATTGCGCGGATTGGCCGGGCGTGGAGGTACACCGGTACGTACGAGTACGATCTTTCACCAGGTTTCGCCGAGCGTCGTAGATAGTAGGGTGGTGGCGCGGTCTCGGCCGGCCGGTTCGAGAGATGCGCGTCACCGTCCTGGGGCTGGCCGGATGTGAAGCTTCGACAAGGAGGCGGCGCGGGCCGATCGCCTCAAGGATGGCAGCGCACTGTGGGCACACATGTACACGCGCCTGGACCGGCAGGGGTACCACGGAACTCGAGAGGTACCGGCCGCCTTGGCTGGATTTGTTTGAAAACCTGGTGCTCGAGGGCTAAAGATGGTCCAAGACATTATTGCAAATATTGGTTCGAGTATTTTTCACGGGGGAGGGAGTCGATTTTGTATTTTTCAAATTTGTAGGAACCCGAATAAATGATGTAAACTTGATGTCATGCAGCGTCACATTGCTTGGAGATTCGTGCTCGCCACCTTCTTCTCCACCAACTTAGTAGGGGCTTCTTTTTAGGGGTGGGAGTGGCACCATTATAACGAAAACACTATCATAGCATTAACAAATTAATGCTCTAAGAATACTGTAGCGAGTGGACTGATATAGCAATCGATCTAGACAATCAATCCATTTTACTAGGGCTGTGTTTAGATCCAAACTTTAGATCCAAACTTCCAATTTTTTCCATCACATCAACCTATCATACACACAACTTTTCAGTCACATCGTACCAATTTCAACCCAAACTTTCAAATTTGGAAGAAACTAAACACAGCCTAAATCAGACGGTGGACAACAGGGGCGAACATCCCATCCTATGCACCTCTACGGATCCATTTCTAGGAAGGGGTGATCGTGCACGTAAAGTCAAGTGTAGATTTCTACTATACTATTTACTACCTCCATCCTAAAAAAAAGTGCAGCCGTGGATATCCGTGCCCAACGTTTGATCGTCCGTCTTATTTAAAAAATTTATGAAAAAATTAAAAATATTTAGTCACACATAAAGTATTATTCATGTTTTATCATCTAATAGCAATAAAAATATTAATCATAAAAAAATTTCAAATAAGACGAACGGTCAAACGTTGAACGTGAATAGTACAAAACTGCACTTATTTTGGGACGGAGGGAATATGTGTTTAGCCTAAACATGATTAGTGTAATACTACCTCCGTTTCAGATTATAAATCGTTTTGAATTTGATCAAAGTCAAGCTACTCTAAGGCCGTGTTCATTGCAAAGGGTTCCCAACCCCTCTCCCTCGTATTCCACACGCACGCTTTTCAAACTGCTAAACTTTTTTGCAAAAAGTTTATATATGAAAGCTGCTTAAAAAACATATTAATCCGTTTTTGAAAAAAAATAGCTAATACTTAATTAATCACGCGCTAATGGACCGCTCTGTTTTCCGTGCGGAGGGAATGAGTTCCCATCTCCCATATCCGAACGCAGCCTAAGGGTGTGTTCGGTTGGGCTGTGGCTTTTGAAAAAATAGCTGTGTGCTGTGACTTTTTGAAAAGTAGCTGTGAAAAAACCAAAAGCTCGTTTGGTTACACACAGATGGCTTTTGTAAAAGCTTCTCCCCTAACGAGTAGACCCCACATGTCATATACATAGGTATCTTCTCCATCCTCCCCTGACGAGCATGCTGGCGGCTGACGACTTCGCACGTGTGGGCGGCTAGCTCGGTGAGGAGGCAGAGGCAGACGCGAGTGGGGCGGAGGCCGCCGCGCACGCGCGCTCGCCGTCGCCGGAGCTCCACTACGGCCACCTCCCATGCCCGCCGACGACGACTGAACAACGACGACTTCGCACGCACGGGCAGCTCGACTGGAGGAGCGGCGACGGCGGCGGCGGCGGGG